AGATAAAGCAGGGCTCTTAGTCAGAACCCTAAAGTGCACAATAAAGCTAAGTGAGCCAGAGAGGTATTACAATACAGAATAGAGCATATAATGTCCAAAGCAGTGAAGATGGTAGGAACAATTTAATAAATGTGTCTTTTTCTATGATTGAATTGAATAAAGAAATAAAGAGTCAATACCAGGGAGAGATCGGATAACATATGGCATGTTAAAAAGACTGAGTATGAGGGGTAAGAAAATGATTCCTTAGCTTTATAATAGAGTATGGGATACAGGTGGGCAGCCAGATGTTTTGAAAGAGTCAACTGTTGTTCCTATATTTACATATTTACACCTGAAGATGTTTTAAAACCGATAGGAGAACTTTATATTTTCAGATAGTTATTATAAGTAGGGTTATTATAAGTAGTTTTGCTGATTTATGGTTGTGATTTATGAGCATATATACTTTCAGAATTAGGTATTCTTTCTCTCTTACTTTTTTCAGACAACCTGGCTGCGAGTCTAATAACCAAACACAAACACACGCACCCACACGGCACCAATTCAAAGGCTGGTGTGAATTAATACAGCTGATATTACAATCCTTCTAGATTACGCGACCCAAGAGAGGAAAACATTAGGGATGCACGATATAATGGGCCCCCTATCGGTATCGGCCTTAAAACTGAATATCGGACATCGGCCACCCCACCGATATTTAACCCGATATTTGATCAGCTTTCTAATGTCTAAAAAAAAAATACTACTATTTGTTCCTCAAAAACTTCTTTTTTACAGACTTAAAAACTTCTAAAGACGAGGGAAAAAATATTGATCCATTAAAATATCCCAATATCTTCCTATGCTGATATATTGCCATTTAAAAACACCATATCAATCTCTTTTACTAATGAAATATTGCTATATGTCATCGTTATGCTACGAAATCCCCCGAAAATTCACCAAATGTTGCCATATTTTTATATGTTGATATATTGACGCGGTATCGATCTATTTTACTAACAAAATCTCACAAGAATTTGCAAAATATCACGAGAGTTTGTAACAGAACGATGAAATTTCACCAGATTTTGAAAGTAAAATAGATCGATACCGCGGTTTTAAAAATCAATTTGATATCAGGATATGAAAATATATTTGAGTTTATTATTTTTCAAAGTGTCAGAAATGGATAACAAAACTGCTATTTTCAATGACTACTTATTTTTGTCCAGCTTTAACATCGGTATCGGTTATCGGCTACATGAGTTTTAAAATATCGGCATATCGGATATCGGCCAAAATCACAATATCGTGCATCTCTAGAAAAAATGCCTAATTTACAGCAGCAGACTCCCTCACCAACTGTTGTCTTTTGCAGAGCGATGTTTATCTACATTACCTTTCACAGACCTGATTCAGTGGCGCATGTAAGGTTAGGAAGCTGAGGCATTTCTTGCAAGAAATAAGGTTCAAATTTATTTAACATCCTCGGATGGAGAGATAGGGCTCTTTAACTGCAGCAAGCTCAGTACATACATTTATACCATACAAATATATAGGTTTATATACCTTTCGCTGGCAAGATGGATTTTCTCAAAACAGCAGTCCTCCCCTTCATGCCATGAAGGAGGCTGTGTAACTCATTCTTATCTTTCATGACCTTCGTTTGGAGCCTGTGAGGCTAAGAACAGACATATCTCAACATTTCTTACTCCACACTAATCAGATGTTGGTAAAGTGTCTAAATTCAGGGAAGCACTGCTTGGTCCTAGTGCTAACCCTAACCCTGCTGTCTGTGTTCTGTAGCGTAAGAGTTTTATTTGGACATTAAAAAGTGTAGGGGACCAAAATGGACTTTTGAAAAGTCCAAATTACCTCCATATACGTGTTATGGTTCTCCCCTTTTGGACTTTGAGTGCTCAGTTATCTAAGTCATTCTGTTTTGTTGATCTTTGGTTGAGTTTCCATTTTGTGTTATATTTAAGCAGATTTTAGTTACTCTCTGTTGTCACTTTGTGCCCTTCTCGTCTTCCCTAGCTCCCTTCTGGTCTCTTCCATCCACAGCTGCTTCACATCAGCTGATTAGCCCAGTCTTTGTTCTGGATCCCATATATACTCTCCTGCAGCTCTTCAGTGCTGGTTCCTTGTTGTTACTTGGCTCTCCATGTGTGCTTTCTCCTGATGTCTCCTGTTTTTTGGGGGGTTTGATTCATGTATTTTGTTTCTGTTGTCCTTTTTATTTTATTAAACCTGCAAGAACTCATTTCTGCTTACCTCATCTCTGCATTTGGGTCCTCAACCAACCTCCACACCACCTGCACAAATCCGGCTGCTAATGTCAGCATTTTGTTTTCTGTCTTTATGTTAAATTTAGATAAACAAAACAGTATTTATACCAAGATAACTACTTATGAGGCAACTTTATGCTTGCTTTTAACATAAAACCGAGAAGCGTGTTGTTTGAGGCCGAGCTAGAGCTCAGATTGAGGTGGGACCATTAGCCCTGTGCCGTGTCCTGTAAGGGTTTAAAGGAATAGTACACCCAAAACATGATTAGCCTTCATTTTCTACTCACCCCTATGCTGAACAACACTCTGGAGTACTTTTTTGATATCTCAAATGCATCTGGAGATCTGGGAGGCTTCTTGCTGTCTGCTGACATTCAAATAATGGAGGTCTATGGCGCCCGAGACAGATAGGTCCATAAAAGTCCACAAAAAACGTGTCAATATTCCTCCATACTGCTCGTCCAATGTATTCCAAGTGTCCTGAGTGGGTAGCGTCCAGAATTTACTCGAAACGAAGTCATTTAGAATGTTTTTAGAGCATAAACAGTGGTGTATAGGATTTCCTGAAAGCGCGTTCACGAGTCTACAGAAACCGCGGCAGACCAAACCAGATGAAAGTGCGCATTCAGCGTCTGCTCTGCCGATAATGCAAGCGTAGAAGAAGAAATGTGCTGTTTACCTGTGCAAAGAAAGAAACAACGAAAGAAAAATGTCTGAGGACTTCAGTGTTGAGGAAGAGCATGAATTCTTTGCCGAGCTGAATGCTCACTTTCATCTGGTTTGGTCTGCCGCGGTTTCTGTAGCGTCGTGAACGCGCTTTCAGGAAATCCTATACACTACTGTTTATGCTCTAAAAACATTCTAAATGACTTCGTTTCGAGTAAATTATGGACGCTACCCACTCAGGACACTTGGAATACATTGGACGAGCAGTATGGAGGAATATTGACACGTTTTTTGTGGACTTTTATGGACCTTTCTGCCTCGGGCGCCATAGACCTCCATTATTTGAATGTCAGCAGACAGCAAGAAGCCTCCCAGATCTCCAGATGCATTTGAGATATCAAAAAAGTACTCCAGAGTGTTGTTCAGCATGGGGGTGAGTAGAAAATGAAGGCTAATCATGTTTTGGGTGTACTATTCCTTTAATGGATAGACGGAGCTGGCCTTGGTTCTGAAAGATTTTCTCTTTTTTAAGTGATGTTGTTTTAATGAAGAGTATTATCAATAAGCAACATTCAGTAATGTGTAAAATGAAATAAATTTGGGATTTTGCCTCAGTGGAATTGCATAATCCTCCGTGTGCATCATAGCTTAATAAACAGCAGAAGGGATTTACACGAGAGGTTGATGAGAAAAAATAACCCTTCTTCTGTGGGAAACCCCACTAGACACACACTCAGGTTTGTATCTGTAAGCTTACATTCATTTTATTTGCTTCATTTATTGCTAACCCCAACATTTCCCTTAATGGTTATCAACATTTTCCATTAGCTAAAGTTCATTCGCTGCATACCAAGCCCTGTTGGTCCTCAGAAGGTCAGTAAATAAACCACGAAAAACGCTCAAGAAGAAGTATACGCATATACCCACAGACACTGAGTGGTGCTTTACTCCTCCAAGAGAAAATATCTCACGATTGTCTTCTGTGTTTTTAGTGAAAAGTAATTTAGCTTTATACAAATGCTCATGCATCTCTGTTAGTATCCTTTGGTAAAGCTGGAAGGTCAGGAGAGATTGATTAAAAACCAAAACTGCTTTGAAAAGAAATGGGATGAGTGGAATTAATTTCCCTTCAAGTCAATGTGTCTCAGCAGACCTTGGGTTTACGTGACCATGTTCACAGAACAGTAGGAAAAAAGTAGCAGACACAGACCCCAGTCTGTCAGGGAGATTAGTTTACCTTTCAGCATACTGCATGCCATGCATGCACTGGAATATCTTTACATCTCTGAGTGGATCCCAGATGTTTACAGCAGCAGCTTCATATTTCAGCTAGCATTTTAATCAAAGCGTGCATGGTGTCGCTCTCTAGCAGCGGCGTGGCTTCAAGTGGATGGAACGAATTGCTGTGTCGTGCTGTGGGGTGGAGAGCTACTTAACAACCACAGGGAATTATGAAGAGGATGAGAACAATTTACACCACTCTCTATCCTCACTTGGAAACTTTTAATTATGTTGTTGTTCTCTATCAGCCCTTTACAGGAAAAACTGGGGTATTGGAGTATATAGGGGTAAATAGGCCCATTTTATAGTCTGGAGACCCTGATGGGATACTCCATTCTGAGTCACTGGTTCACATTAAAGACAGAAACTCAAGCCAGCTCAGCTTGATCAGCTGGGAATCTGGGTCATTACGTTTCTTAGAACCTCCACTCTTTTTTGCTTTCTACTCACACTTTCAAAATGACGGCTCCTTCACTGCAGCGCTGACTGATTATCACTGCCCATGGTGGAAAAAAGAAGCATCATTGCATGTGAGAAACCCCTAGAGGGGATAACTCCCCTCTTTGTCCACTTTCCCACCATTTCTCTGCAGTGAAGCTGCCATTAAAGCTAAAAGAATCAGGGCTTTAAGCTTTGGATTTTTTTATTTTTTATTATTTTCACTCTTAACTGTTTTGAGGCTTAACTTCATATAAGATCAACAACAAATATCTTGATGAAAAAGTTAATGCTTTGGTTTTTTTGTGCTTTTTTTTTTTCTTTGCTCTTTGTCGCTGACAGAGGAATCCCTGGTAAGAAGTGTGGAACCATCATCTTCACAGCCGAAGAGCTCAGCAACTGCCGGGTTAGTATTTAACCATAAACCTCATCTTTTTACTGATAAAATAAAAAAAACAAATCAAACATTGTTTCAAAGAGTAAAGAATCTTAGTCATATTATTATTATTATTCAATTATTATTGTATTTCATGATATTTACATTCTAGATTCAATTTTTGAATTTGCCAAGTGAAACACATTGCCACAGACATTAATTCACTTCAATTTAGTCCATTTATATAGTGCTGTTGTGATATTTTACTATTAGATTATGAATACACAATTAACTATGACTAGAAATTGTAGTTAATTGATAAATCATCCAAATTGAAGGGTAAAACCAATTGAATGTTCTTAGTTGAACTGTAATCCGCTTACTCACCTGGATTCTTGGCCTCTCACATTCCGGGTGGCTTCTGGACCAGCTGTTAAAATCCAGCTATTCCCACCAATTTACTGACTTAGGCTAGATTATCAGCTCAGCTATTAATTGCCAACCAAAGAAATCTTGTCTTTATTTATTCAAAAGTGGCCAAAAGGAGGGCGAATCATGCCTGAGTGAAGGCTGGTTTCAACCCAGAAACCAGGTCATCTGCATGTTTGTCGCACTTTACACAGATGTGCCCCGCCCCCTTCCGCAGACATTCTGGTGCACCTCTCCCAAATTGTAGGTGACTGCAGACAGGAGGCCTCTGATTGGGCGAATCTACATCCTGTTTGAGACCTTACTGGCTTGTTTTGTTTTTATGACCATTATTTCGGGAAAATCACTGATCAAGATGGACCAGCTAGAAGAGCGAGGTGTGCAAGAACGCTGGGACCTTTTTTCCACCTGGATCCCTGCTCTTTTTGGCCCTCATGTCCCTCAGTTGTTGCACAAACTTGCCCCTGTCATGTTGGCTTTAAGGGATCTAACCCACATGCAGAACACTCAGAGGCAGGGAAAAAGTTCACAAGTTTATTGAAGACAATTCACAATAAAGAACTATGATTTCTGGGAATAACCGGGTCCGGGTCTGGTCATGACTGGTTTTCACTGCAGAGAGGGACAGATTGGTTAGCAGTCTTTCAGTGAACTTGCAGGTTGGGTATTTGCAGGTCTATACCTGATCAGAGATGAGCAGAGCGGTAGAAGGGGGGAACCGGGAGGGTCCAGAGGCTGAAGGCAGGCAGAGGGCTAGGCAGAGGCAGGGCAGAGCAGATAATCTTACTGAGCAGGATCAGAGCTTCTCTCTCAGTTCTTGCTGAGAGCGGGCAGGCAGGTTTCAGACTGAGTTGGATTTCCAGGGGTTCTACTGAGAACAGACAGCTTGGTCTCACGTTTGAGAAACCCTTCCAGGTCTTCAGGTAGAAGCAGAGAGGACAAAAAGCAGGTTAGGTTCAGGTTCAGGCTTCAAGGGAGTCAGAGATACAGACAGGCAGGTTGGCTCAGGTTCGCTAACCATAACTGGCAAACACTCTGGCGTCGGATTGTAGCTCTGCCCCTCCTTAAATGCTGGTCTCCTGATGAGTTAATGAGCCGCAGGTGTGGTGGTCAGCTTCAGCTCCAGGAGACCTAGAATGCCCTCTGCTGGAGAAAGGTGGACAGACCTCCAGATCCCAACAGCCCCCACTTCCTCACCGCCTTTGCCGTATCTAGACCTACAGCTAGTTCCTGATTGTCCTTCTTGCGTTGTGGCGTGGAATAACATAGCGCAGACCACGCTTCAATATTGGGCATAAATCAGAAATATCTGCGACACGCTGCTGCGGGAGGATAACCAGGCCAGCATATGCCAGCGTATTGCCATACGTTGTAGGGCAGTTATCTGATGGTCGACATCCGTTCAGTGTCAGTTCCTCAACAGTCATGGCTTATAGCTTATCCAAAATCTCTGAGTAACTTGTGCATAACTTCATCGCTGCCCCCTTCAGGACAACTGGCTTGTGCATCATTTCATGGGCATTACGCTGCCATGCTTTATGCAGCAGGTAGGCTGTCTTTGGATAGACGTTCTGGACTTGAATACTCTATACGCCCAGAATAGAAAAAATCCGTAGGAACTTCAGCGTATGCCAGCAGTTTAAGAAATTCTGGGACGTCAGGCAGACACTGGATAACTCTGTGTGACAGGGAACAATCAGATCTCTGATATCAGATGGAGCTTGGCCATTTAAGGCTTTATATGTGAGAAGGAGGATTTTAAATTCTATTCTTGATTTAACAGGAAGCCAATGAAGAGAAGCCAGGATAGGAGAGATATGATCTCTCTTTTTCATTTTCATTAGAACTCTGGCTGCAGCATTTTGGATCAGCTGAAGGCTTTTAACTACAGTTTGTGGACTTCCTGATAGTAAAGAATTACAATAGTCCAGCCTTGAAGTAACAAATGCATGGACTAGTTTCTCTGCATCACCCCTGGACAGGAGATTGCTCATTTTTGCAATATTCCTCAGATGAAAGAAGGAAATTCTAGAAACCTCTTTGATCTGGGATTTAAATGACAGGTACTGATCAAAAACAACACCAAGATTTTTTACTTTATTATCTGAAATCAGTTTAATCCCATCCAAATGAAGTGACTGGCTAATCAGCTTCTTTTTCAAAGACTCTGGTCCAAAGACTATAACTTCTGTTTTGTCTGCATTCAGAAGCTGAAAGTTAAGAGTCATCCAGGTTTTTATGTCTTCATGACTTTCTTAGAAAGGGTGAAGCCTGTAAATGCCTATAACAAAGAGCAGACCCTAAAGCTCATTGAATTAAATGGCTTTGAAAAAAACTACATTTTGTCAACCATTGACTGCATGTAAACCAAATGTTTCTGCTGCTTCAGTCGCATCCGGTGGGAACTTAGCATAGTTATTTAATTAGTTATAACAGTTTTCTGATATAAATACAAAGTCTGAACAGTATAAACACTAAAGTGTGCCACAGATTGCATAGGTTCTAAAAACAAGCATTGTTGTTTAAGGACATAGCCACCATGCAGTTCTGTGCCAACAAGCTGGATAAAAAGGATTTCTTTGGCAAATCGGATCCTTTCCTCGTCTTCTACCGGAGCAATGAAGATGGAACGTAAGTTTGTTTTTAGTTGCAATCCACCTATTAGGCGTTCAGCCAATATTTCTGACTTGTATCTAGGTTAGAGGTGTTTTCCGTCTTGTTACTTAAAGCAATTGAAGATCTGCCAGTAGATCTATGGCCAACAGCAGACTTAGACAGTGTGCTGGTGGTAGTAGGTTTCCACAGTTATATTAAAGAAGGTCTAAAATCTATTGTTTGCTTTGTGTATCTTTGACTCGTCTCTTTGCTTAAAATCAATTCATTTTCTGATTATGTTTATTATGTGTTACCAGGTTTACCATCTGCCACAAAACAGAGGTGATCAAGAATAATCTCAACCCTGTGTGGCAGCCATTCATCATTCCGGTTCGAGCGCTCTGTAACGGTGACTACGACAGGTGAGAACAAAGTTGTATTTGAAACATTTCCTATGAATCTGCCACGTTATATAATGAACATCCACACAGGAGCTGTGAACCATTAGCTGACCGTAGGAAGACATCTGAGGTTGTTGGTTCAATTTCAGTTTTTCACTGAAGCTGTGTTAGATCAGAACATTTTATTATCTGTCGATTTCATTGATTTGTTTCCATGTTTAAACTATGAATTTGTGCTCTTTAATTACAGAAATAAAAGACCACTGAAAAGCAGTTTTTTAAACTGGGTTTAAATTAATAGTTTTGATACCATTAGTTCACTTAAACTCTCACCCAGTCCTTTAACTACCACGGCGGATCAACATTAAAATAATATACGAATCACAAGAGAGTGTAACGATCAGCACAGAGGAGCCAGGATACAGCCGGAGACAATGCAAAGTACACTGATTGCCAGTTTTGTAAGATTTGGACCGCTTTCTTTAAGTACGTAGGTAAAAGACTTACGACTATTATGATGAAAGGGATGGCGAAGAAAAACATTGGCTAGCGAATGTTTTTGGACCATGAATGTTTCTTTTTGCCTAACGGATGTGTGCGTGCTTTATGTCTATAAGTATATGTACAAACAGATAGTTAGAGGTAATATTTAATGTGGCTTTGTTGTTCTGTTTGTTGTTTGTGTTGACTTTTTAATTTAATCAAGATATGATTTGAACAACAAATAAATAAAGCTAAAGGAAACAAAACAAATTACAACAAAATACGGATTAACCAAGAGAAAAGTAGAGGATAAGAGAAGGGACTGGAGATAACTGAAGTCATTGAAAACCTCACCTAAGGATAGGAGAATGAATAAATAACTAAAACTAGACCAAGAAATAAATAATAGCAAAAAGCTGATAAGAGAAAAAAAGGAAGCGTAAAACTAAGAATTCAAAAACAATATAAATCTTGATATTACAGAGTAAAATAACATAAAGCATAAGTGAAAACCCAAAATGAAAACTTAAACAGAACCAAGAAGTCAAGTATGGCAGATAAAAATGACTAACGCCTTTGATTTTTCTCATCATTGCTAAAGTTGCATGTTCACTGTCTGATTGAGCTTATGTCACTAAAATGACAGAAAACAGTGTACCTTAAAAGTTGTTCTTTTCTAAGAAATGTGCACACAAAAAACGTACAAATTATGTTATTAATCACAACTATGGGACTCCATACACATCCATCGCGAACAATTTCAAAGGAACTTTAATGGGTAAAAAAGAGGAAAAACAATTAGAAACAAAATCACAGATTATATCACTAACTGTAGTTATCCACTTCATCAGTAGGTGGTGACATGTTCACACGAAGCTTCATGAATTGTGTGGTTTGTTGAAGCATTTTCCCCAAATGGTTCAAAAACTCATGAGGCTTCATCTGGTGCAGAAATTCTGGGCGGATCCTTTTTAAAGACTGACGCAACATGCACACATTTCAAAGTCCAGGAACCCCGATCTCTGAGGTATATAATAGGGCGACAGTGGCGTGTAGGGCGACAGTGGCGTTGGATGTGGGAGTTTGCCCTGTAATCGAAGGGTTGACGGTTTAAGCCCCGACTCCGACTTTCATTGTCGTTGTGTCCTTGGGCAAGACACTTCACCTGCATTGTCTACTGATGGTGGTCAGAGGGCCCGGTGGCGCCAGTGTACGGCAGCCTCGCTTCTGTCAGTGAGCCCCAGGGCAGCTGTGGCTACAATGTAGCTTGCCACCATCAGTGTGCGTGAATGGGTGAATGAATGTAGTGTAAAGCGCTTTGGTCAAGTCTCCTGACTTGAATAAAGGCGCTATATAAGTACAGGACATTTACCATTTATAATGGTTCCTGTATTTAGGGAACCTTCTGGTTAGACCTAAACTGCATTTTGTTACCTTGTACCTGTACCTGTGTGATGACAATAAAGTTGAATCTAATCTAATCTATTTCAGCTTTGAAGCTATGGACTCACATCCAAACAGAGAGAAAGCCCTTCTCAGCGATTATATTGACTTTATGATTAAAAGAAAAACCAGAAAGAATTACTGACTGTGGGAAAAAAGATAAAAAATCTATGAATCCTTATTTAAAAAAAGCATCTCATCACATGGTGGAGCTTAATGAGGAATTACTCAGCAATATCTACAGGCTTCAGCAGTCTGATGCTTTTCTTGTGCCTGATCTCAGCTCAAATGTGCAACCGACTGGGGATAAGGTTGTTGTTTTGAGGGGTAACTTGTGTAATTAATCAGTCACTGCATAACTGCTATCTAGCTTTGGGAAAGTGAAAACTCTTGAGTATGCAGGAATTTATACCTGAACTTACTCCAAGTTCTGACTCATCCCACTTTACCTGTACGATGGTCCAATTCAATTCAATTCAGTTTATTTATATAGCACCATTTCACAACACGTCATCTCAGGGCACTTCACAGTTCACCAGATCATACAGTCAAATTGATTCAAAGTTTTCTATCTACGAAAAAAACTGTTGATTGCATCGACTCATTGACTGGAAGGCAATCCCTCACAATACGCATGCTTGTAGTGACAGTGGAGAGGAAAAACTCCCTTTTAACAGGAAGAAACCTCCAGCAGAACCAGGCTCAGTGTGCGCGGCCATGTGCTGAGGTCCACTGGGGTTCAAGGAGACAGAAGCAGCGATACAAAACGAAATCCAAAAAGGTGGCCCTGTCCAGGAAATACGCAGCCCGGCAGACGAGCTCCGAGCCAGCTTCCATGTCAGAGGATGAAGAGAATACATTCAGCCAGTCACAATCAGAGAAACAGGACTACACTGATAAACAGACTGATCTCCAACATCTATAAATAAAAGTGTTGATGGCAGCAGCACAACTGATATTTCTCTCCAGGATGGAGTCACAGCCAAACAGGAACAGACAAGATAAAGCTACTGTGAGAAAAGGCAGATAGAGCATACATTTAGAACTTGAGCTAACAGATTCGGAAAATTGGGAGAATAGAGATAGAATGAAGCAGAATGATGAAAAAGGGGTCCCTATGTCCTCCAGAAGTCTAAGCCTATAGCAGCAAAACTATAGAGATAGCTCAGGATAACCTGAGCCACTCTAACTAGAAGCTTTTTAGACTATAACTTCTGTTTTGTGTGCATTCAGGAGCAGAAAGTTAAGAGACATCCAGGTTTTTATGTCTTCAGACATGCCTGTAATCTATGTAATGGTTTAGCATCAGCTGGATTTATAGACAGATACAGCTGGGTATCATCAGCATAACAGTGGAAATGAATCCCATGCTGTCTAATAACTCTACCTGTTGTGGTTCCAGTTTGTGGGGTTAGTTTATGTTCTTTTTCAGTTCCACTGTTCTTCCACCAGATGGTGCCATTGGGTTACTTCTGTCTTGGGGGGCTTGCCTATACTTCTCAATTACCCACACATGCAACAAATCTCTCATCACCTCTGAGGAGTATATGAACAGCTAACTGCCATCACCTTTTCGCTTAGAGTGGTGGTTCTTCAAGGGACTCCACCTCCAGATGAAGCTTGTGCGCCAGGTTCACATCTATAAAGTCAGCATCAGCCCCAGAATCAATGAAAACAGGAAACCGCAGTTGAGAGAACTCAGGAAATTGGACGGTGCTCTGATTGTGAGGAGGTTTCCTGGACCTTAGATTAGACTCAGTAAAGACCCCCTCGGCTTTACTGAGTCTGTCCTTTTAACGGACAGCCAAAGGCAATTACTCTCACCACAGTAGAAACACAGGCGGTCTCTGAACCTTTTCTCCCTTTCTTCAGCAGAAAGTCTGGTCCTACCCAACTGCATGGGTTCCTTAGGCAACGCAGCAGGAGATGCAGAGGCTTGGTTCATATTGCATGGACTGACCTGGACAGTGGGGACCCTTCTTTGATAGAAAGTAGACCTGTTTCTTCTTATTTCACGAAGGCGTTGATCAATCCGAAAAGCCAACTGTTCCAGACCTTTGAGGGTCTTGGTAGGATCACAGGTAGCAATCTCATCCTTAATATCACCTGACAGACCCTGATAAAGAAAAAAATCAAATAAAGCCTCCTTATTCCAAAGACAACTGGACCTCAAGGCATGAAAATTGATGATGTAGTCGGTCACTGGGCGAGAACCCTGTTTGAGAGAAAAAGAAGTCTCCTTGCAGCCTCCCTCTCTGGACGAACAGGATCAAAAACTGTAATCAGAAGAATAAAAAAATGAGTCACAGCTGTGGGAATATTTCTCCCATTCACATGTGCCCCACTGCTTTACCTTCCCCGATAAAAGTGAGATGGCATAGGCCACCTCACGGGAAGGCTGAAGGCTAAAAATTAGAGAACACTGGATCAAAAAAGGTATGCACTGTTCAGGATTCCCATTAAAACGCTATGGAGGGGGAATCTTAGGTTCACAAAAAGCACTTGCTTTGGGTGTGACAGGAAGAGGGACAGGGTGAGTGACCGGAGGCTCAACCACAGCTGAGAAGTCTGCAGATTAGAAAGTCCTTGTAATATCTCCTGAACACATCCCTCTAGGCCAGAAATTGAACTTTCTACCTTTAGACACCAATCCTGATTTGGCTGTGGGTTCATATTGGCGAGATCGTACTGTCACGATTTCAGAAGAGGCCAGACCCCAACACACAGCCAAAAAGAAGATCGAGTAAAAAGATTTATTGTCCAGAGACAAACCAATCTTAGATAGAGGAGTACTAATGATCTTATTTTTTATTAAGATTAATCTTATTTATAAAGAATCCCATAAAATTATTACTGCTAAGAGCAGGTGGAATGGACAGTTCAACAGAGCTATGGCTCTGGGTGAGTTTGGCCACTGGATTGAAAATATATCTAAGATTATTCTTATTCTCCTCTATTATTGAGGAGAAATATGCTGCTCTTGCTTTACAAAGGGTCCTCTTATAAGGCAGTCAACTATTTTTCCAGACTAGGTAGGAGGCCTGTGGAGCACGATTTTCTCTCCAGTTTTCTAGCATTTTGCTTCAAATTGCGCAGCTCTGCTTTAAACCAAGGAGCAAGCTTTCTATTTTTAAGGGTTTTAATTTTCAAAGGAGCTGCGTTGAGACAAGTCTATACCAGAATCATATCTTGGCAGCCTCCTCTAATCTTCTCTGCTGCATCTCCTGCCTAAAAACATTTAAGAATTCCAGAATAGTTAAAAATAGTTGTTTTTTAAGGGTTTGTTTCAGCTTAAAGTCTTTATATTTATAACAAAGCTGAAGCCATTTTAGTGAATGTGAAGCGGGGGAAGAGCGTCATTAGTATATATATTTCATTCCACCCCAAATAAATCTCCAGTGAATTAAACCAAGCTGATCTGCACTCATTCCAGGTTGATCCTGGAAAATTTAGGATCATGCTTAAACCTTGATGCATTTTGATTATGATGCACTCATGCACAGCAGTTTAAGGTGTTTTGAGCGATATTCAGATTGGAGAGTCATAATCTTAGCATGCTTCTAGCTCTAAGCACTTAGTGTGAGGGTTTGCTGAAGAGTCAATGATGCAATCAACTGGTTTTCCTTAGATAGAAAACTGAGTAAATCTTACTGGATGATCTGGTGAACTGGAAAGTGCTTTGAGATGACGTGTTGTTAATTGGCGCTATAGAAATAAACTGAATTGAATTAAATTGAATTGAGAGGTCTGATGCCGGTGTTTGCCAATGCATACAGATCATCCCTTTCATGCATAGTGTTCACTACAGTGTAGAAAGTGTTATTTCTATATATTTGCCTTGAATTTTAGGCACTGATCTAGTAGAAGCGATTGCATCATCCCATACAGACAAATCCCACTCGTTGATCATTGCAATGGAAAAAAAAGGCTGTGAAAACAAGATGGCTGAAAATGGAAAAAATACCAAACACCTCGGATATTTCGGTTTTTGCAGGGGATCAGAGGAAAAACCATTCCAAAACAAGAAAAATTAATTACATTATTATTGGAGTGGACAGATAAATATTTCTTTATAGAAAGAAGATAGAAATTATTTTTCAAACCATGTTTAACATTCCTTAGAATTTATAAAAACACTTTGTTAAAAAAAATCCCGGCTGAGTTTAATTCATGCATGAGAGGGTTAAAATGGTGTAATCTGAAGGACAGTTGATGCTCTGATTTAACATTCAAATGCTGCATGCAAGACGAAACCAGTTCCTGTGGCAGGTCAGAATAATGCCAGCAGTCGGCTGTGAAGTTACTAAGGCCAGCGCTGGTGTTATTGAGACCATCACCGAGGAAAACTGCAGAACCTGCTCATGCATCATGCACAGAAAATATCTCTGTGGCTCAAGAAAAACATGATAAAGATTTGTTTGACAGGCAGTCTTGTTAAATTATTTCAAACAGAAGAGAATTAATAAGAGCTTCTTTCTGAACCTTGTACCGACAATTGACTCTTTCTTTATGCGGTGGACGTCTTTTAGTGGAGATATACACTCACCGGCCACTTTATAAATTGCTAGTGACGTGTTGGACCCCCTTTTGCCTTCAGAACTGCCTCAATTCTTGGTGGCATAGATTCAACAAGGTGCTGGAAGCATTCCTCAGGGAGTTTGGTTCATATTGACATGATGGCATCACACAGTTGCCGCAGATTTGTCGGCTGCACATCCATGATGCGAATCTCCCGTTCCACCACATCCCAAAGATGCTCTATTGGATTGAGATCTGGTGACTGTGGAGGCCATTTGAGTACAGTGAACTCATTGTCATGTTCAAGAAACCAGTCTGAGATGATTCCAGCTTTATGACATGGCGCATTATCCTGCTGAAAGTAGCCATCAGCAGTTGGGTACATTGTGGTCATAAAGGGATGGACATGGTCAGCAACAATACTCAGGTAGGCTGTGGCGTTGCAACGATGCTCAATTGGTACCAAGGGGCCCAAAGAGTGCCAAGCAAATATTCCCCACACCATGACACCACCACCACCAGCATGAACCGTTGATACAAGGCAGGATGGATCCATGCTTTCATGTTGTAGACGCCAAATTCTGACCCTACCATCCGAATGTCGCAGCAGAAATCGAGACTCATCAGACCAGGCAACGTTTTTCCAATCTTCTATTGTCCAATTTCCATGAGCTTGTGCAAATTGTAGCCTCAGTTTCCTGTTCTAAGCTGAAAGGAGGGGCACCCGGTGTGGTCTTCTGCTGCTGTAGCCCATCTGCCTCAAAGTTCCACGTACTGTGCGTTCAGAGATGCTCTTCTGCCCACCTTGGTTGTAACGGGTGGTTATTTGAGTCACTGTTGCCCTTCTATCAGCTCCAACCAGTCTGGCCATTCTCCTCTGACCTCTGGCATCAACAAGGCATTTCCGCCCACAGAACTGCCGCTCACTGGATGTTTTTTCTTTTTCGGACCATTCTCTGTAAACCCTAGAGATGGTTGTGCGTGAAAATCCCAGTAGATCAGCAGTTTCTGAAATACTCAGACCAGCCCTTCTGGCACCAACAATCATGCCACGTTCAAAGTCACTCAAATCACCTTTCTTCCCCATACTGATGCTCGCTTTGAACTGCAGGAGATTGTCTTGACCATGTCTACATGCCTAAATGCACTGAGTTGCCGCCATGTGATTGGCTGCTTAGAAATTAAGTGTTAACGAGCAGTTGGACAGGTGTACCTAATAAAGTGGCCGGTGAGTGTAAACAGCTGTATCGTAAATACAGACCTAATGTATCTACATTTGCCTATAGGGGGACTTTGCCTCTTAAGCCGGGAGTACACTGTATGAGTTGTTGCCCTTTTCGGGCCTATTCTCCAGTCCTGCGAACATTTTTGGGATCAGTTTCAGCCTCATGGTGCGTCATGTAGCATACATGGGGAAGCGACGGGCGATCAGCCTCTCACGACCACCGCCCGATCAAGAATCATGAGGTTGAGAGAAAAAAAAATCAAACATGTTTGAAATTCAGTCGGCTGTCCTGAAGTATAGGTGGGCAAATCTTGCTGTTGAAGCAGAGCTACAAGCCGATTTACCAGAACCTCAAGCACTGTGCATGTGCAGTGGGGTTGTTATTATGCTTCTTCTTCCTGACTGACGAATCTGACCAGGGCCACATTTTGGCGCTGAATCCAACATTTTGGTTTCTAAACATGCGCTGTGAGCACGTCGAACGCATCAGAGCGTCGGGCCTACAGTTGAAGAACAAACATCGAGAGCTGTGAACTTTTAGACCCTGCGATTTCATGGTAAAGTTTGAGCTGTAGCTGCCTGCAACTATTGAAAATATCCTGCAGTGGATGCCAGGTTCCAGTGAACATTTACATACATCCGTTTTAAAGCCAGGCAAAGATAACCTGAATCAATTCAACATTGTATTTAAAGAAAGTAAAACTTTCCAATTCAAATTAACTGGGCAATATGAGACAAGGTCAGTTCCTACTGTTCAATCAGGCATTCTATCTGATCATTTCTATCCAGTGTAGAGTCTGTGAGCTAAGGCTCACAATTAATGCTAGTTGTTGGTGCTAATTGGAAATCGCTCAGTGATAATCTGTCTGTTTTAGCTCTATCATCACATTAAGAAACCAGACCAGTCTGTGTCCTTGCTGGTGCTATGCACAGTAAAGTGCATGAACACGTTCACTGAATACCTTCCGGTTTTTACTGAAGGGTGAACTGAACTCCACTACGATGGATGGAGCTTGGGTACGAACTTGCTCTGCAGTACCTAAGATATTATTGATTGGTTGGCCTGGGGAGGATGTACTGCCCCTAGTGGAGGAGTTTAAGTATCTTGGGGCCTTGTTCAGGAATGAGGGGAAGATGGAGCGGGAGATCAACAGGCGGATTGGTGCGGCGACTGCTGTGAAGCGTGCCCTGTACCCGTCTGTTGTGGTAAAGAGAGCTTAGCCAAAAAGCAAAGCTCTGGATTTACCGGTCGATCTGCGTTCCTACCCTCATCTATGGTCATGAGCTTTGGGTCATGACCGACAGAAGAAGATCCTGGATCCAAGCGGATGAAATTAGTTTTCTCCATAGTGTGTCTGGGCTCTCCCTTAGAGATAGGGGGAGGAGCTCAGTCATCCGGGGAGGACTCAGAGTAGAGCCGCTGCTCCTCCACATCGAGAGGAGCCAGCTGATGTGGCTCTGGCATCTGATTAGGATGCCTCCTGGATGTCTCCCTGGTGAGGAGTTGCAGGCACGTCCCACTGGGAGGAGGCCCAGGGGGAGACCCAGGACACGCTGGAGGGACTATCTTTCTCTGCTGGCCTGGAAGCGCCTTGGGATTCCACCAGAGGTGCTGGCCCAAGTGGCTGGGGAGAGGGAAGTCTGGGCCTCCCTACTGAAGCTGCTACCTCTGCGACCTGACCCTGGATAAGCAGAAGAAGATGGATGGATGGATGGATGGATGGATGCATGGATGGACGGTTAAGGGCCCACCTGGCATTGCATAATTCTTTTTAACTGGAATGATCACATATTCGAATGGGGTAAAATAGTAAAGTCAACGTTTCCGTCAGAATTCAATGTTTTCTTTCTGTTCAACCTAATTCTATTCACTTTTTTCTATAGTGCTAATTTACAACCTGTCATCACGGGCCATCTGTTGAGACAGTTTAATCAGCAGCATCTGTGATCAGCTAGATTAACAACTCCCAAAAAATACAGATTACAAACCTTTCTTTTGTCTTTTGCTGGCTCTGTACACGTAAAGCTGAGAAAGACTGCCTCTTGTCTTCTAACTCACGGTTCCTTTTAAGCTCCCACAGAAAACTTTGCTTTTTTGACTTAACATGCCGTTTTGTTAATGTTTCCTCCCTCATTCTCACCTGGACCCCCTCATCTCCTCTCCCTCCAGGACAGTGAAGGTGGACGTTTATGACTGGGACAGAGATGGAAGGTAAATTCTCTTGCTATCTTTCCTTTTGTTCATTTGATTTTCAGCTCCACTCAGGACCCCTCATATGTCACACCAGTTTAGTCCATCATAGACAGAAGCTATAGCATCTCTCCTCACATTGCAGAAGTTTTAATCATAAACTTTGTGGGGATTTTCCAGCTTGTTTGCTCCATGTCTGCTTTCTAAAATGTATTTTTCTTTCCACACAGCTTTAAAGTATTTAAGCCATGAATGACATTATGTGCAAATGTCAGGCTTTCATAATAAGAACCAAAACATTCTTTATTGCTAAGTAGTGTTTTTTCATACATGCACGGTACAGTCTTGGTGACCGGTTGTTACACATAAACACGCAAACATACAGACAAAATATGCAGATATGGAGTTATTAAAAAAATTAATAATAAACAAAGACTTTACAAAGAGAGTAGTGATGGAAACTGGTCTGAGGAGTCATGGATGGAGGAGTAATGAGGTATGGTGACGAGATGTCACCAGAAACAGTAGTAGAATTGGTTCAGCTCATATGTAAAGCCCGGAACACACCGAATCCGATTTTGCGTCCAGTCCGACAGAAAATCGTGCCTTAGAGGTGGTGGCGTTTAGCGCTTATTGAAAGTCAATGACAGTAAGAGAGACGCGGTTACAAAGTAAATCACATCCGCTTTGGGGGAAAACACAAAATAAAAGCTGTTAATCTATCGGGGAAAGAGTCAGTTTGGAGTCGCTCATCGTGTTTATAGTAAGCAGGACAGACTGGAGCAAAAACAATAATGAAACATTAAAATAGAAAACTTTCCCTATGATGGGAGTTCAGGAGGACAGAAAACGGATAAAGTAGTGATCCTCTTTGAGCCTCACAGAAACCAGAATAAGAAGGAGCAGACAGAGCAGGTAAACGCAGCCATTCTGTTCTGCATCCCAGAATGTGAGCTACCCTAAGGCTGGCAAGGTTAGGAGATGACCAAACGGAAAATGTTTGAGTTAACTGTAACATTGTCAGGGTCCTGCTTTGGTTGGTGATTTTAAACACCACTAAAGTGGTTGGACCTGATAATGACATGCTTCCCTTGCAGGCCCAGGAGGAACCGTAGTGTTCCCAGCAGGCCTCGGCAGATGGCGGCTGACATTGAGTCTGACGTTTCTTCCCGTTTGAAGGGAGTTTTTCCTCCCCGCTGTCGCTACAAGCATGCTTAGTGTGAGCGATTGCCTTCGTGTCAATGAGTCGATGCAATCAGCTGGTTTTCCTTAGATAGAAAACTTTGAATCAATCTGACTGGATGATCTAGTGAACTGGAAAGTGACCTGAGATGACATGATGTGAATTTGTGCTATAGAAATAAACTGAACTGATTTTTTATTTATATATTTATTTGACAGGGACATTGTGTATGAATAAGCATTCCTGCAAATGTACCAGAATTAGCCAAAAGGCTATTTGTCATCGGTTGTCCCTTAAAATTATCTACCTAAAAACACTGAATTGACACAATTGAATTGAATTGTTGCTAAAAGCTGCTAAAGTTGTAAAAGGGGGGGTGGCGGCCGAGTGGTTAGGGTGTAGGGCTTTGAATTCTTGTGAGTTTGATCCCCCACTCCCACAGACTGCCGCTCTGGCTCCCTGAGCAAAACCCTTAACCCCACACTGCTCCCCAGGCGCCGCACAATGGCAGCCCACTGCTCCTCAAGGGGATGGATTAAATGCCGAGAAGTAATTTCCCTCTGGGATTATTAGAGTATATAAACTCAATATCAAAAATCAAAAGCAGTCCCCATTTCCAGTCCATGGGTGTGCTGCCCACTCTATTGCAGATGCAGCAAAACATTAGCCAATATCTACTTTCACTGCATGCTTATCCAGGAGGAGGGAATTTTATTCTCACCCATCGGTCTGTTGCATTGAAATGTCTCTGCAAAGTGCCTTAAGATGTGTTGTGAACAAGCACAATATAAATAAATTGCATTGAATTAAATTTCTACAAGCGAAAACATCAGTATGCAAACAGAGTTGGTGTTTCATCTGTTTTCCCTGTTTTCTCTCTCCCCCCCCCCCCCCCCCCCCCCCCAAGTCACGACTTCATTGGAGAGTTTACCACCAGCTACAGGGAACTCTCCAGAGGCCAAAGCCAGTTCAACGTCTATGAGGTGACATATTTCAGAAGAAACGTCTGAGAGGATGTGACAAACAAGGAAAATATTTAAACTTTTTTAGTGTAAATCTGTCATACCTGGGGCGTGCTTTGGGGACGCAGTAATGAGCGCACATTACCCATGTATGGAGGCCTTAGTCCTTGACGCGGCCGACCCGGGTTCGAATCTGACCTCTGGTCCTTTCCCGCATGTCTCTCTCTTCCCCCCTTTCCTGTCAGCCTACTGTCCATAAAAACGAACCACTTGTGCCGTAAAAACAACAACAAAAAAATAATAATAATAATATCAGTCATACTTACAGCCGTGTCTGTGCAACTTTGGAATGCATTATTAGTTAGCTTATCCTTACCAAGCTTTTAAATGATTGCTGTGTTGCTTTTACCCTGTTAATTGGAAACTGATTTAATCACAGCTTTTACATAAGATGTTCCTTTGGCAGGTTGTAAACCATCCTACAACCTAATACACATGGGTTTCTCATTTTTCATTGCTGGTTTCTATAAACACTTTGACAACATATTAACAAACAGATGTTTTACCTTCAAATGTATTTTAGCCATGACTAATCCCATGATGAAGTCTAAAGCAGGGGTGTCCAAACTTTTTCTTACCAATGCTAAAGCTTGTCAAGTCAAAGTTACGAAGATCATAAAACATATATAAGAATAAATGAGTGTATTTTTGTTAAGAGGTTTGTTTTTTAACGTATTTACAAGATATGCACATCCAATTGTTCCAACTCATTTTCTGTAGAGAAAGAGATGTGTAAGTGCTGTAGATCAGTGATTTTTTATTGATTTTTTTTACTTTATATCCAGTTAGATTAGAAAAAAATGTAAAAAGGAAATTACAACAATAACAAGAGAGTTTGGTCGGCCTTTCTAAAAAACTTTGGCTGATGTTAGCCTGTTTTATGAAAGAGTGAATGTTGGTACGCTGAACTAAAACATACTAAAGAGGAAAAAAGTACAAAATGTGATTATTGAAAGATGAACACTTTGAGTGTCAGAGGCGTCAATAACAAAGTACAAATACTCCCTTCCTTCAGTAGAAATGTTGGCTATCTATACCTAACTGCAGTAATTATTTTAGACAACTTTTGCCTTCTACTCCTTTCATTTTAAAAATAGACTAGTTAGTTTTGTTTAATTTAGGCTCATTTTCATTATGACCTGTTGGTACAAAAAAAAACTAAAATATGCTGAATTTATTTATGCATACTCAAGAAAAATTATTATGAATACCACGTGCAAAAGATAGTTATGAAAAAGGACAACTAATACTTGATGTCTATTAGACAGATAAGAACATTTCTTCATGCCTTGTGTACATTGTAAGCAGAAATATGGACATGTGAATTTTTTGAATATTCTTTGAAGCATGTTTTTTTTTTTTTTTGGAAAACTCCAGGGAAAAAATTGTTTTTGTTTGAGATTAGCATTATTCCTTCAGGAGGAACTTCAGGTGGAGCAACAGCAAGTCAAGCATGGAGATTCACACTAGGCCAAAAATACAGAAACCAGGGACAGGAAGGGACATTGGTTGTCTTAAAAAATGTACAAGATGGGCAAAAAACAACAAAAAAAGAAAGCAAAAAGCTGTAGGTAAGCTGCTGCTCCAAGTTACTACGGCAAGAGTCAAAATCAAGTCCTCATGATCGCCCCTTCATCCCAAACAATGTCATGTTGATTAGAAGTTTAAAACATTCTTTAAAATACACAAAAGAAAAATATTTTTCTTTTTAATCATTTAGAGTTAGGCCATCACCTTGATTTGTTCGCTCAGTATGACCTGACAAAAAAGAAGATGACTCTCATAATAACATCGTAGCACAAAGGTTAGATTAGGATTCTTTCAAAAGAAAGAGTGAAATTATATTTCTAAGGCTCAGACCTCATAGGTTAAGTAATGTTTCTTCTGATACATTATGATAAAGCTCTTTCCTGGGATGAGGTGGTAAAATATCCACCAATGGGAACAGAAGGTTCTGCACTGACCGCTCACTTTAATAAAACCTAATTACTTCTCTCCTCTCACTTCGTTCAGGTTTTGAATCCTAAAAAGAAAGGCAAGAAGAAGAAATATGTCAACTCAGGAACGGTAAGACCAGATTTTTATCAGAAGTTGTCAATATATACACTATATTGCCAAAAGTATTCGCTCACCTCCCCTGACATCCCCTTCCTAATCCATAGAGGCTTAATCTGACGTTGTTTCACCCTTTGCAGCTAGAACAGCTTCAAATCTTGTAGGAAGGCTTTCCACAAGGTTTAACAGTGAGTTCATTGGAATATTTGACTAATCAGCTTCTTTTTCAGAGACTCTGGTCCAAAGACTATAACTTCTGTTTTGTCTGCATTCAGAAGGAGAAAGTTAAGAGTCATCCAGGTTTTTCTGTCTTCAGACATGCCTGTAATCTATGTAATGGGTTAGCTTCATCTGGATTTATAGACAGATATAGCTGGGTATCATCAGCATAACAGTGGAAATTAATCCCATGCTGTCTAATAACTCTACCGATTGGGAGCATGTATAAAGTAAAGAGAATTGGTCCTAGCACTGATCCCTGTGGTACTCCACAGGTAACCTTTGAGCGTGTTGAAGATCTATCATTAACATGAACAAACTGAATTCGATCAGATAGATAAGATTTAAACCAGTCTAGAGCTGTTCCTTTAATTCCAACAAAATATTCAAGTCTTTCTAAAAGAATATTATGGTCAACTGTATCAAATGCAGCACTAAGATCCAACAGGACGAGCACAGATACAAGTCCATTATCTGAGGCCATGAGAATATCATTAGTGACTTTCACCAGAGCTGTTTCAGTGCTATGATGAGCTCTAAAGCCAGACTGAAACTCTTCAAAAAGTTCATTATGGTGGAAGTGATCGCAAACTTGTTTGGTAACTACTTTCTCAAGAATTTTGGATAAGAAAGGAAGATTGGATATAGGTCTATAACTGACCAAGTCATCTGGGTCAAGAGACGGTTTCTTGAGCAGAGGTTTAATTCCAGCAACCCTAAAAGCTTTAGGTACATATCCCTGTAACAGAGATAGATTAATCACATCTAGAATGGAGGAGGAGATCAAAGGGAATACCTCCTTAAATAACCTGGTTGGAACTGGATCTAACATACAAGTTGAAGGCTTAGATGAAGACAATAGTTTTGCTAACTCTGAAAGTTAAAATAGAAGAATGGAATAGAACATTGCCTTATTGTACCTCAATGGGGAAATTCTGCTGTTTACAGCAGCAAGAAGATAATATCAAAAAATGGTCACACATATATGGACCTTAGATGTATAAGAATAATGATAGTGAAGAGTTAAAAGATAAACAATAAAATACTGCACTGTAAAGTGTTTTAACAAAATAAAACTGCAAACCTGGAGAATAGATAACCAATATACAGCTATGGACATTTTTACAGTAATGGATATCTGAAAATAGCTGCAACATCAGAAATCAGCAAAATGACAGCAGCATGTTATTGAACTGACTAAGGTAGAAACTGAGCAAAATCAGCATGAATGGAACAACTTACTGAGTTTGTTGGGAACAGCAGTGGTTCTAGAGTCTTCCAGCAGCTGGGAGGAAGGATCTGTGATAACGGTCCATGGATCATCTAGGATACAGCAGTCTGTCACTGAAGGAGCTGTCCAGTTCAGCACCAGCTTCAAGCATGGGAAACATTATCCAACAGAGATGTTCATTTAGTTAGGATCTTTTTGTCCTTTGAGTCCAGAGGGCATCCAATCACAGAGCACAAGTTCACAAGTTTAACTGCATCAAAGCAGTCTAAACCCAATTCAGATTCTATGGCTACCTCAGATGCTGCCTCACCTTCCAGAGATAAACCAGGCATAGTTAGAGGGGTGCTAATGATCTTATTTTTAATCTTATTTATAAAGAATCCCGTAAAATCATACTGCTAAGAGCAGGTGGGATGGACGGTTCAACAGAGCTATGGCTCTTGGTGATTTTGGCATCTGGATTAAAAAGATATCTAGGATTATTCTTATTTTCCTCTATTAATGAGGAGAAATATGCTGCTTTTGCTGGCGTTTTAACTCATCCCAAAGGTGTTCTACCGAGTTGAGTTCAGGTCTTTCTGCTGGCCAGTCAATTCATCCACACCAGACTCTGCCATCCATGTCTGTTTGGACCTTGATTTTTGCCCTGGTGAACAGTCCATTCAGAGGAGGAAGGGGCCAGCTCTGAACGGTTCCACACAGTTGGGAGCTTGGGATCGTCCAAAATGTTCTGGTCTGCTGATGCATTCAGAGTTGCTTTCACTGGAACTAAAGAATCAAGCCCAGTACCTGAAAAAAAAACAGCCCCACATCATCTCCCTCCACCAAACTTTACACTTGGCACAATCACAAAGAGGTACTGTTCTCCTAGCCCCTGCCTAACCCAGAATGGTCTATCCGATTTCCGGAAGCACAATTCGTCATTCTAGATAACATGTCTCCACTGCTCTGGAGCCCAGTGGCGACGAGCTTTAAAGCATTGCAACTTTGCATTGGACTGGGTGATGTACGGCTTTGATCCAGCTGTTCGACCATTGAAACACCGTCCTAGAAGCTCTTTGTTCTTCATCAGTTTGCGTGGCCAACCGCCTCATGGCTGTCCTGCTGTCTTTCCTGAACGCTTCAGCTAAAGATATCAGGATGTTCAGAACATTGGACCCAGAATTCATGTGAGACAGACGGCGCTGCTGGTCAGCTTAGGCGGGCTCACTGGATTCTCTGCAGGAATAGACACTTGGGTCAGTGACTTCAAGACTCAAACGAGGAACGACAATGAGCTTCAAAGCCCCCAACCTGGCAAAGTTAATTCTCCATGGTCAGAAGATGGGTCCCAGGTCGATGTCAGCCGAAATCAAGGTAACAGCCCGGAAACACTGGACAGCCAAACAGAGAAGAACAGAAACTCAGAAGTCTGTGGGCAGAAACTGGTCAGCAACAGACAGAACAAAATACAAGGAATGCTAGAGTTAGTCTAGCTAGAAGCTAGAATAATCTGGTACCAAGGAGGCTTAAATAGCAGCAGGAACCGGTGGATCTAATAAGAGCTAATGAGCGCAGGGCGGAGCAAAGCAGATGAGAGCAACAACCCAGCCTATGGTGCCAAGATCATGACAAAAAGCTGACTGTCAAATATTAGGAGAGAGGAAATGTCTAAAATTTCACAGGTGGCATCCTATCACTGTTCTACGCTGGAATTCACTGAGTGACCCATTCTTTCACAAATCTTTGTAAACATTTTATACAGCTGTGGCCATGGAAGTGATTGGAACACATGATTCTAATAATATGGACGGGTGAACGAACACTTCTGCGAATATAGTTTATTATTGAACAGCACACCCTGCAGCAAGGACTTAGAGAATAATTAGAAGTCTCTGACAGGGAGCTATCTTCCTTTGCTTTCTTCCTGTGTTTTTTATCGCCTTTCTAATCCATCATCAACCCCGTCTCCATCTTTAAGGTGACTCTGCTGTCTTTTAAAGTGGACTCCGAGCACACGTTTGTCGACTACATCAGAGGAGGGTAAGCTCTAAGCCACTTTTCACTGAGGAACACTGGTATCTTGAAATTTAGAGCTTTAGTTTAATAAAAAGGAGGACATATCAAATGTAACGCTTCCCTGTTGCTTTCTGTACCTTGGAGCTTGTTTGTAAAGGCATCCATAACTTTCAATTAAATTTAATTGTCAATCATTCTGCTGATATGTTTACATAAGGCTATCCTACGCGCTCGTCCCGTTAGCTATCTTTTTCTGCGCATGCGCACTTCCAGGCGTATATATGTGCTATATTTTCATCCAGTCAAGCGTGCCTCTCTCAGAAGAGAGAAACCAGACCATTGTGTTTTTGGGAGATTCTTTCACGCGATGGCATCCACTGAAAGCACAGGCTGCGCTTCCTGCTGATGCCTCGGTTTAGAAGTTTCCACTAAACAGGTAAAATATGGCTATTTGGAGAAATCCATTTTCATATCACTGCTAATAAAATTTATCTACCTCTATATTGTAACTTTCCAGGGAAGATAAGTTTATTTATTTTGTAATTTCCATCATTAGCATTTATACGGTGGTTTACCTGCAGGTTTAAGCAGGTTTACCTGCAAACCTGCTTAAATTTCTACTGCAGCACACACAGATACTAGCATTTCATTTTTATAAACGTTGCAGTAGTCTTATTTTTGGGGATTGGTGATTAATCCTAGTTAATAGCAGATAAGTTTATCCTAGTGTAAGCTGTGATTAGCGATGCTAACCTCAGCACAAGACCACGCAAAACCAGTCGGGCTCTTTTTGGCATCAAGACAATTATTCTTATTTCCACATCGCCAGACAGGACACTGTTAAAAAAAAAAAAAATTATATGGGAAGGACACGAAAAACTGTTTTTTATTCAACTTTCATTCGTAAAAACGTACATGATACAAAAATGTGGCATCAAATCCAAAGCTTATTTTACTGTGCAAGTCTACTTCCTGAGGTATTATTGAATAAAGTGCAATGAAGAAGATTTATTTCTGTCTTACTGACTTCCCACTTTCTTCTCCTCTACTCCAAACCGCTCCCTTGCCAAGTTGTAGGTTAATGTTGTGAGAGTGTTAACTTTCTGCTCAGCTGTCCCAGCCAGTGTGGCTTCTAGAATCTTGTCGAGGTCTTGATCTAGTTGGTTCCATTCCTGGTTATCACTCATCTTGGGCCATTGTATTCGTTCCCTGGCAGGATGTGGTTGGCTCACTGGGTTGGAATCAGGTTCATCCCTCCTGAGGTCTTGAGGTAACTCAGGTGCTGAGAGATCTCCAGTACTGTGGGGTTCGTCCTGACTGGAGTTCTCCTGCGTCTCACCAAGTGTTACTACTGTGCGCTGCACCCCTGCCCCCCCTTTTCCTCAGACGGTTCGGCTCTGATGGATCTTGAGCCCTCTTAAGTTCTTGCAGATTTTTCCACAATGACACTTAACTTCCGATTTCTCTCCAGTTAGCGTTTTTTGAGTAAGCAGTTTCTGTGTCCATAGTTCGTTCCTGGCCGTCACCGTTGAATCAGTCCAGTTGAGTCCCTCATCGGAGACTCTGGGGGTATTGCTCTGTGTTAATTTCTGTAGCTTAAGCTGGTGCCCTCTTGCGAGTGCCGTGCTAACGAGGTTACTAACCTCATGAGGTTGCCAGCGTCACGCACCGACACCAGTCTTTCCTGGAGGTCATCTGTCTTTCCAGCGTCGCCGATCTTCATAGTTGCTACCCCGACTTTCCTGGGAGTCACTGGTTGCCCAGAAATTCTAGAACACACATACATCCGAAGATGCTTCTCCTTCATTGACCCTGAGTGAATGAAGCCTTGGCCTGGAGGAATCAATGTCATCAGGTGGCATCCACCGTTTACTGGCTGTTTCAACCCTGAACCACAACAGCCTCCCGGTGGTGGGTCGGCAGTGGTGGCCAAGTCACTGCCCATCTCCTCCTCCTGGCTTTCAGCTAACCTCCTCCCTCCTACTCCATGACCAGCATGTTCCCAGTCGAGGCCCATCCTGCCTCGACTGGGAACAACCATGACTGCCATCCCTTCTCTCTGCACTCCTGCAGAAGGTCTTGATACTTTCCACTTTTCCGTTCGAAGGCCTGTTCACACCGCTCTTCCCATGAGACAGTCAGTTCAATAAGGATGATCTTCTTCCCTTCTACCGACCACAGTACCACCTCAGGCCTCAGGGATTTCTGGACAAACTGTGGGAACTTCAACCTTCCCCCCAGGTATCATAAATGTTGAAATGGCAGTTTATAGGTAAATAATAAAAACTTTCTGAAATTGAGTGTCAGCTGCAAAAATGTAATTTAGAAAATTAGAATTTTAATTAATTAAAAGTTATTTCAGTTCAGTCTAGGAATATGCCATTTTGATCAGGAAGAGTTTTATTTTAGTAATCTACAAATGGAACAATAGAGAGAGACTGCTTTGAATAAATTTAAATACGTCCTGCCATAGTCAACTTCATATAAACCTACACATTTACCCGAGCAACAATCTTCTCCATCTTCCTCTACTTAGTAGCTGTAGCGCTAGTTCTCTGTCTTTTAAACACATTCATATTTTTTTTTCATTTCTGCATTAAAATCTGTAATTCCAGTGGAGGGAAATATGCACTTCCTTGCACTTCCTGCATGTTTTCATGGTGTTTTCAAGGTATCCTGGATCAAGTTAAAGAGTAGGTGCTGTGAATTTAGGAAACTTTTAAATAGTGTTCTTTTAACATTAAGAAATGTTTACCTTTCTCACTTTCAATTCTATTCAAAATTGCTGTATTAATCCCAAAAGAAAATGGTTAAGTAGATCAAAAGGCCACTTTGTGTGGCCCAGAGCACTGCTAGCTGTCCTAGCAGTGTTTGTTACAGGCACAGCTTAAACATCCTGTATGTAGCATATTTCATATTAATAGCCACATTCTGTCTGATAATAACCCTACAGGTTGGTTTCACCATAAGATTGGTAACAGCAGAACGCAGTAGAATGAACCATTAGTCTCTATAAAATAAATAACCATTTCAAATCAGACCTCACCCCTCCACCAACGTTTTGGTGGGAGGGTGAAGCAAGAAGGGTTGTTGTCGTGCAAAAATATAAAAGTGAGCAGTGTGAAAGAAAAAAAGGACTCATCATTACAGCACTTTTTTGGTTGGACGTGAAAAGAGCTGGCGCTCTATAGCACCACCTAGTGTCTCTTTGTGCACGTAACTGCTTCATTACATCTTTTTTGACGCAGTGCTCATGTCCGTATAGTGACTAACGTCATTGTCTTGTATCTTCTTACAGAACACAACTGAACTTCACAGTGGCAATAGACTTCACTGCATCCAACGGTGAGTACTGAAGATTCACAAACCAGGAACTGTTGAAACTATAATAATTATGATTAAACTTTATTGATCTCACATTGGAGAAATTCACCCTCTGCATTTAACCCATCCCCTTGGGGAGCGGTGGGCTGCCATTGTGCGGGGCCTGGAGAGCAGTGTGGGATTAAGGGTCTTGCTCAGGAGTGGCAGTCTGCGGGGTGGGTTTTGAACTCAGAACCTCTGGATTCCAAGCTCTATGCCCTAACCACCAGGCCGCCACCAGAGATGGCAAAAGTACTCACTTTCCGTACTTGAGTAAAAGTACAGATACTTGTGTTAAAAAATACTCTGGTAAAAGTGGAAGTACTGATTAAACTTCTTTACTCAAGTAAAAGTAACAAAGTACAGGCTTGTAAATTTACTTAAAGTATAAAAGTAAAAGTAGAAACCACTTTTTTCATGCCGTTGCCTACATTTTAAATGGATGTCTGCCAATAGGACTAGATCTCCGTTGTGTTCATTTTCAATCATCTCGTCGTCCATGCTACTATGCTAACGCCACCGCCACCAAGCTGCAATGATTTGCCGCCAATGAATACCGCCGAATCTGTCGATTCATCTTGCAGTGGTGCGTCAAATGCAACGTAGATTCCCATCCAATTAGATTGAATTTGGTATTGATGACGGGAAAAATAATAACGGTAACTCCATTGAAATGATTCAAAACTAAAGTAACGAGACAATTTTTTAAAATGTAAGGAGTAGAAAGTACAGATATTTGTGTAAAAATGTAAGGAGTTGAAGTAAAAAGTTGCCATAAAAATAAGTAGTAAAGTAAAGTAAAAATATCAGAAAAATCTACTTGAGTACAGTAACAAAGTATTTGTACTTCGTTACTTCCCATCTCTGGCCGCCCCTGCCCACATGTTGCACATGATCCACATGTTGCCAATCTTATCCCTTCTTCTATCCTCCCCGGGTGCCTTTTCGGCGCCATTTCCGTTTTTCCTCTGACACGGAGCAGCCGGCTTGCTTGGACTCGCAATGAATCATGGGATATCCAAGGCTACAGAAGTTACAGCGGACCTGTCCTTCGAAACGGGGGAAAAGAAGGCTGCATTTATTGGCCGCATGACGAGGAGTTTTCTACTCCCGAACTGTCATCTGCGCCATGCTATGATGTAATCTGGATGCAGCCGCTGAATTAGCACTCAGCAAATGTTGGGCGGGATAACCAGCTACAGTTTGTTTGCATTAAAGTGACAACCAGCTCATTCTGAAAGGAGGTTAAAATGGGCCGAACAGAGAAGGTTAAATCTCTTCATCTAAGTGTTTTTTTTTAGTTGCATTAAATATAATGAGCATGTTTTTTATTTTCCACTGATCTATCGTAACTTGTTTAGAAGGTAGCATAACAGGTTCCATGTAATAATTGTATCTGGTCATAAATAAGTTGTTTATCTACACTCATCGGGTCTTTTTGTAGGTAATCCATCCCAGCCCACCTCCCTGCATTACATGAGTCCATACCAGATGAACGCGTACGCCATGGCCCTGAAGGCTGTGGGGGAGATCATTCAGGATTACGACAGTGACAAGCTATTCCCCGCTTATGGCTTCGGGGCTAAACTACCTCCAGATGGCAAGATTTCACACGCTTTTCCTCTGGTAAGACATATTAAAGGCCTCAGTAGATGGCCGCTCACACTGAGTCTGGTTCTGGTTCTGCTGGATGTTTCTTCCTATTTAAAGCAAGTTTCTATGACATTGCTGCCAAAATACAGACGAGTGTATAAAGCAATAACAATAGTGGAATTATTAACCACAAATGTGCATTTAATAAGTGAGTGTTTAGGTTGACTTTGAACTAGGAGTTAACAGAAATACTGATTTTAGTGAGCAGGTGTGGTAATGTCTTCCTTGAGCTTTTATTGATTGATGCAAGAAGCAGAAAAAAAAAAGCTTTAGAAATTAAGCAATCATAAAAATCAGACTGGATTAGGAACTCTGTGTCATGATGATAAAGTTTACAAAATTATATATCATTATTTGCATCCTCATCATTATTGTATTGTTAGGTCTACTTCATGCTTTTGGAGGACTAGACAGGACAGGCTTGATCAGAGAGACGTGAAAAACAGGAGGAATCTTTAAATTATCCGGCAGCTTGAGGCGAAACGCAGAGCGACTGGATTTCAATTAATATCTGGAAGATAGTTTGGATTAAAAGTCTTTAGTTTGAAGTCAAGAGGTGATAACCAAATCTTTTGCTCAGGTGAGCACATGGGAGCAGGAATCCTTTTGTGACTGACCAGACTTTAATTTCAATTCAATTAAAGTCAGTTTATTTCTATAGCTCCAATTCACAACACATGTCATCTCAGGTCACTTTCCAGTTCACCAGATCATCCAGTCAGATTGATTCAAAGTTTTCTATCTAAGGAAAACCAGCTGATTGCATCGACTCATTGACTCTTCAGCAATCCCTCACACTAAGCATGCTTGTAGCGACAGTGGAGAGGAAAAACTCCCTTTGAACAGGAAGAAACCTCCAGCAGAACCAGGCTCAGTGTGAGCGGCCATCTGCTGAGGCCCACTGGGGTTCAAGGAGACAGAAGCAGACATAGAAAAAGAAGCATAGATACAAAAGGCAACTGTCAACCAGCTCCACAGGCGGCCCCGTCCAGGAAACACACAGCCAGGCAGACGAGCTCCGAGCCAGCTCCCATGTCAGAGGATGAAGAGAGCACATCCAGTTAGTCACAGTCAGAGAAACAGGACTACACTGGAAAACAGGCCAAGCTCCAACATCTAGAAACAAAGGTGTTGATGGCAGCAGCACAGCTGATATTTCTCTCCAGGATGGAGTCACAGCCAAACAGGAACAGACCAGATGAAGCTACTATGAGAAAAAGCAGAGAGAGCAGAACGTTAGAGATTGAACTAACAGATTCTGCAGAGTGGGAGAATAGAGATAGAATGAAGCAGAATGATGAAAAAGGGGTCCCTATGTCCTCCAGCAGTCTAAGCCTATAGCAGCAGAACTATAGAGATAGATCAGGATAAATTAAGTAAAGGAGGCGATTCAGTTTGCATGCCCAGTGTTCAGGTACATATCAGGTACATATCCAATACATTTTCTTCTTCTTCATGATTGTACCCCACTTTTTTTGATTCTTCACAAAGACTGACAATTTTATATCTTTATGTTTGAAGCCTGAAATGTTGCAAAAGGTCGAACAATTCAAAGGGGGTGAATATTTTCACAAGGCACTGCATGTGACCAGACCCTTGATAAAGACATAAACGGGATGCATGGAGAGAATATAAACTGTTCTTTCTTCCCTGTTTATGTTTTTACAAAGGATTTGTCCTGTAATATTAACTGCTCTTATTGTCTATAGTGTGGTCCAAAATATGTTAACTGGCGCCTCCCGCTGTGGTCTGGAACATTTCGGTTGCCAATGTAGTTTGCAGCTCTTTTTTTTTCTACATGCAGCATTTTTGTCTTTGTATGTTTTTGTTTATTTGCCTCATTTTTTTGTGTTTGTAGTTCTTTTTACATTAAAACACAGCAAGCAAAGCTGCCTCCATAATTTAAAACCTGACATGGATTACTGCTGTTCAGGTTGGTAGCCAGCTCAGTGTTTATGGTTTCCAGCGTCAACTGTTTATTGACTGTCTAGAAGAAGCAATGGCCAACCAGGCGCTTAGCTGATCCAGAGACTTACTGTGGAAACAAGTTGATGGTTTCTGTCTGCAGCAGCTTGGCATTAACCAAATAACATATCGGATGGATTCTGAGTACTGCTGCAGAATTAATGAATTTTGAAAGCAAAATATAACAGAAAATAGCTTTTGCCTTAACAAAATGACCCTTTTCTCTTCTACAGAACTCCAATACAGGAAATCCAAACTGTGTGGGGATTGAAGGAGTACTAGAGGCTTACTTTCACACGCTGCGAACTGTTCAGCTGTACGGCCCAACCAACTTTTCTCCTGTCATCAACCAGGTGGCTCGGTGAGATAAACGCTGACAGATACCCACTGTTGTCATGTTCGCTGCCCTGATAGCTTACCTAATTGCTCACTTCACTCACCTGCTAACTCCTGTTGTGATATTTTACGAGTAGATTATGAATAAATGCTTAACTACTGTAGAACTGGAGTATAAATCATTAAAAATTGGGGGTAAAACCAAATGAATTTTCTTAGTTGAAATATTATAACTGTAATCTGCTTACTCAGCAGGATTTTGGGCCTTTCACACTCCGGGTGGCTTCTGGACCGGATGTTAAAATCCAGATATGCTCACCATTGTGGTGACTTAGGCTAGGCTATCAGCAGAGCTATTAATTACCAACCAAAGAAATACTGTCTCTGTTTATTCAAATGTCACCAAATGGAGGGTGGAGGGGAGGAGTTTTTAAGATAAACACGATGAATCATTATACACTGCAAGAAATTGAAATTTATCTAAAGTCTTTCTTAAAATAAGTGCACTTTTTCTAAAATTGGGGAGGTAAGTAAGACAATTTACATTTAAAATAAGAATAAAATATTGCATTGTCTTATTTCAAGCGTATATTATCTAATCATCTAATTTTAAGGTAAAGATATTCATTCAATTGGAAAATCATCTAATTTACCTGCTTAAATTAAAGGGTAAATACACTTAATATAAGACATTTGTTCTTATTTCTAGATTGTTTTTTCAGTGTAGATAAATAATAATGTGAGAGAGAAAGTCATTCAGCCTTAATATGATATAAGGTTGCTAATAAAGCCAGGTGTGGCATAAGTGTTCTATCTTTGTAACATGGATTGGAAGGACAACAATATTTTACCTGAAGTGAAAGATTTAAATTTTTTGTGTAGGATAGGAAGGATGGGTGACGTGTGCCATATACATATACATATACATATATATATATATATATATATATATATATATATATATATATATATATATATATATATATATATATATATATATATATATATATATATATATATATATAGAGATTAACATACCCTTTAATAACAGACAGGGCAGATAATGAGGCACACAGGAAGGGATCAAATGGATAGCATTCCTGTGACACAATGGGCTCGTTAGAGCCTTTAACTTCATAAAGGTCTTAAAATTAATAGTGCTAATTTGCTTTTTTTTTTAGCGAAAATTACAACGAAAATACAGGAGTTGGACAATGAAACTGAAACGCCTCTCATTTTAGTGTGGGAGGTTTCATGGCTAAATTGGACCAGCCTGGTGGCCAATCTTCATTAATTGCACATTGAACCAATAAAAGCAGAGTGTGAAGGTCCAATTAGCAGGGTAAGAGCATAGTTTGGCTCAAAATATTGCAATGCACACAACATTATGGGTGACATACCAGAATTCAAAAGACTCTCTTGTTCCTGTTCCTGTTCCGATATGTTTGCCTGACCTGGCTTCAAACTCCTGGACCCCTGAGCTTGCCTGTTCCTGTTCCGATATGTTTGCCTGACCTGGCTTCAAACTCCTGGACCCCTGAGCTTGCCTGTTCCTGTTCCGATATGTTTGCCTGACCTGGCTTCAAACTCCTGGACCCCTGAGCTTGCCTGTTCCTGTTCCGATATGTTTGCCTGACCTGGCTTCAAACTCCTGGACCCCTGAGCTTGCCTGTTCCTGTTCCGATATGTTTGCCTGACCTGGCTTCAAACTCCTGGACCCCTGAGCTTGCCTGTTCCTGTTCTGATTTTGCCAAACCTGGCTTCAGCTCCAGCATTCTCTCCGGGGCAGTAGCATATGGGAGACTCTGGGAGGCACCCGCCGCTTGTTTCCAGCCACTGGCTGGATCCTACCTTGTTCTCTGGGCATGGACTGAACTTGTAAACCAGGTAAGTGACTTCCTCCGTTAGATTTAAGTGGTCGGCAACCTGTGTTTTCCTTTCTCCAGAGTTTCCTGTACAAACTGTCAGTGTTTAACACTTTTTAAAGTGATCCCACTGTCTGTCTTGCCCGAATACTGAGTCCTTCTGTTCTGAATCATGACATAAACAACCAGAGCACCGATCATCCAGAGCGTCGAAACGTAAAAGCAATATGACCACAGTTTTATCCAGCGTCCTGATTTCTGCATTGAGCGTTTTTGACGACCATAACGCCTTTGATGTGAATGCATCATTAACCTGATGAGGGAAACCTCCCCTCTGTCTGGCCACTATCAGGCAAACCCAGATTCAGGACCATCCTCCACCACACCACTGCTCTATAGACCCCATAAGAGGCTGGGCCCCACTGGAGGTGACAGATCTTGGCCTGTTATCCAATCAGGGCTCTACTTTATCACTGGGTGGTTCAATGGACAGGGGGTTTAAACCTCAATATGGATTCCTTATAGTGACTGACTGGCAGCGTCCCACTGCTCCAGAGTGGAGGGGAGATAAAAAGCTTATTAATGCACAACATGCTCATGTCAAGGCTCAGAACTATGGACCCAGAATTTCAAGCAGACAGACAGATGTGATTCATAAAACCATTTTTTTTTTATGTCAGATCTGCCACTCAGCAGCTAGGGCATCAAAGGCCGAAATCTCTGCATAGGGAAAACTCAGGTTAGTGACCATGTAAATCTGAAGGAGGCCAGTTCCGAGTGTGTTAATCACTAACCTGTTTATAGAGTTCAGTCTGTGCCCAGAAGAAGGATTGGAATCCAGGCAGATGTCTTCCAACAGCACCGGGCAAACGCCCGGGTCAGAGAAGACAAGAAGGCTGTTGAAGTGGCTATCAGCAGATCCAATCAGACGAAGAACGGAGGGGTTTCCAGAAGGGGAAGCCAAAGCTGGTGTTGAAGAGGTAAACAGGAGTCCAGGCCAGAAGGTCAGAGATCCAAAGAGGTACAGAGGGGAAATCCTAGCCGAAGTCAGGAGACAAATCCTGGGTAGTCAACAGGCAGAATCCAGCAACTGTCTCAAGACAGGTCAGGCAAACAGGTCAAACTGGGAACAAGCAGGCTCAGAGGTCCAAAGGGAAAAACTGGTCAGGATCAGGCAACCAGAACAACAACTTAGGTACACTAGAAAACACTCACTGAAGGCTTGAATAATCTGGCACTGATGATTGGGAGCAAGAAGCTTAAAATAGATGCAGTAGCAGGTGGATAAGATGAACAGTAATGGAAAATTGGGTAGAGCTTGGCAGTTGAATGGAATCAAGCATTAAGCCAGTCATCAGCGCCACGATCATGACAGCTCATGAGACCAGGCGCTTTTTAGTGCATATTTAATGCAGTTTAATGACTACAGTTGAGGAGATTAACAATCTATAAATGAAAAATTATTAAATTAAATTAAATTTCTAGTCCTCTTTATTGCTGAGATGTAAAGAACCTAGAGTTTAGGTTCTTTGTGTTGAATGTGATCTTTTTAACCTTGTACTGCACTGTAAATGCACTGAGCAGTGCTGCAGAGTGCAAAAGCTTAGCTTATTCCCCTTCACAGGTTGTTGATTTTGTTGATGGGGTTGCTAGTTCTCTGCGTATTGCCTTAGACAACGCAGCTCCTTTGAAAATGAAAACCGTTAAAAATAGAAAGCTTGCTCCTTGGTTTAATGCAGAGCTGCGTACTTTGAAGCAAAATGCTAGGAAACTGGAGAGAAAATATCGCTCCACAGGCCTGCGAGAGTCCTTCCTAGTCTGGAAAAATGGTTTAATGCTGTATAAGAGGACCCTTTGTAAAGCAAGAGCAGCATACTTCTCCTCATTAATAGAGGAGAATAAGAATAATCCTAGATTTCTTTTTAATACAGTTGCCAAACTCACCCAGAGCCATAGCTCTGTTGAACCGTCTATTCCACCTGCTCTTAGCAGCAATGATTTTATGGGATTCTTTATAAATAAGATTGATCTTATTAAAAATAAGATCATAAGCACTCCTCTATCCGCGATTGTACCTGAGGTAGTCATGGAATCTGAACCGGGTTTAGACTGCTTTGATCCAGTTGAACTCTCTGAATTAGCAAAATTATTGTCTTCATCTAAGCCTTCAACTTGTATGTTAGATCCAGTTCCAACCAGGTTATTTAAGGAGGTATTCCCTTTGATCTCCTCCTCCATTTTAGATGTGATTAATCTATCTCTGTTACAGGGATATGTACCTAAAGCTTTTAAGATTGCTGTAATTAAACCTCTGCTTAAGAAACCGTCTCTTGACCCAGATGATTTGATCAATTATAGACCTATATCCAATCTTCCTTTCTTATCCAAAATTCTTGAGAAAGTAGTTGCCAAACAAGTTTGCGATCACTTCCACCATAATGAACTTTTTGAAGAGTTTCAGTCTGGCTTTAGAGCTCATCATAGCACTGAAACAGCTCTGGTGAAAGTCACTAATGATATTCTCATGGCCTCAGATAATGGACTTGTATCTGTGCTCGTCCTGTTGGATCTTAGTGCTGCATTTGATACAGTTGACCATAATATTCTTTTAGAAAGACTTGAATATTTTGTTGGAATTAAAGGAACAGCACTAGACTGGTTTAAATCTTATCTATCTGATCGAATTCAGTTTGTTCATGTTAATGATAGATCTTCAACACGCTCAAAGGTTACCTGTGGAGTACCACAGGGATCAGTGCTAGGACCAATTCTCTTTACTTTATACATGCTCCCAATTGGTAGAATTATTAGACAGCATGGGATTAATTTCCACTGTTATGCTGATGATACCCAGCTATATCTGTCTATAAATCCAGATGAAGCTAACCCATTACATAGATTACAGGCATGTCTTGAAGACATAAAAACCTGGATGACTCTTAACTTTCTGCTTCTGAATGCAGACAAAACAGAAGTTATAGTCTTTGGACCAGAGTCTCTGAAAAAGAAGCTGATTAGCCAGTCACTTCATTTGGATGGGATTAAACTGATTTCAGATAATAAAGTAAAAAATCTTGGTGTTATTTTTGATCAGGACCTGTCATTTAAATCCCATATCAAAGAGGTTTCTAGAATTTCCTTCTTTCATCTGAGGAATATTGCAAAAATTAGAAATCTCCTGTCCAGGGGTGATGCTGAGAAACTAGTCCATGCATTTGTTACTTCAAGGCTGGACTATTGTAATTCTTTACTATCAGGAAGTCCACAAACTGTAGTTAAAAGCCTTCAGCTGATCCAAAATGCTGCAGCCAGAGTTCTAATGAAAATGAAAAAGAGAGATCATATCTCTCCTATCCTGGCTTCTCTTCATTGGCTTCCTGTTAAATCAAGAATAGAATTTAAAATCCTCCTTCTCACATATAAAGCCTTAAATGGCCAAGCTCCATCTGATATCAGAGATCTGATTGTTCCTTATGTTCCTAACAGAGCACTTCGCTCTCAATCTGCAGGTTTACTAGTGGTTCCTAGAATTTCTAAAAGTAGAATGGGAGGCAGATCTTTTAGTTATCAGGCTCCTCTCCTGTGGAACCAACTACCAGTTTTAGTCCGTGAGGCAGACACCCTGTCTACTTTTAAGGCTAGGCTTAAAACTTTCCTTTTTGATAACGCTTATAGTTAGGGTGGCTCAGGTTATCCTGAGCTATCTCTATAGTTATGCTGCTATAGGCTTAGACTTTTGGAGGACATAGGGACCCCCATTTCATCATTCTGCTTCATTTTCTCTCTGTTCTCCTATTCTGCAGAATCTGTTAGTTCAATCTCTAACCTTCTGCTCTCTCTGCTTTTCCTCAGAGTAGCTTTGCCTCGTCTGTTCCTGTTTGGCTGTGACGTCATCCTGGAAAAAAACATCAGCTGTGCTGCTTCTATCAACACCCTTGTTAATAGATGTTGGAGATCGGCCTGTTTTCCAGTGTGGTCCTGTTTCTCTGACCGTGACTGAGTGGATGTGCTCTCTTCGTCCTCTGGCATGGGAGCTGCCTTGGAGCTCGTCTGCCTGGCTGTGTGTTACCTGGACGGGGCCGCCTTTTACAGCTGCTTTTTGTATCTCTGCTTCTGTCTCCTTGAACCCCAGTCGGCCTCAGCAGATGGCCGCTCACACTGAGCCTGGTTCTGCTGGAGGTTTCTTCCTGTTAAAAGGGAGTTTTTCCTCTCCACTGTCGCTACAAGCATGCTTAGTGTGGGGGATTGTATTTGAGTCAATGCAATCAACTGGTTTTCCTTAGATAGAAAACTTTGTATCAATTTGACTGTATGATCTGGTTGAACTGTAAAGTGCCTTGAGATGACATGTGTTGTGAATTTGGCGCTATATAAATAAACTGAATTGAATTGAATTAAATTTAGCCTAATCTATGTGTGTTCTATGTTGTCAGATGTGCTGCAGAAGTAACGGACGGCTCACAGTACTTCGTGCTGCTGATTATCACAGATGGCGTCATCTCAGACATGGCTCAGACTAAAGAAGCAGTGGTCAATGTGAGTAAACACAGATCATTACTATGAGCAAATTGCTGCTCCTCTAAACTCTTTGGCTCTGGTTTTAGGGCTAAATAAAGAAACGGGTCGTTGAAGATAAACTACTTGATTCATGGCATTGATTGTTTGAAATGTTTTCCTTTATATTTTCATTTAAGCGATTCCAATCAAGACATGGTGACAATATAACTGCCTTTATGCTAAAAGATTATAGAGTAATTTAAAGTGGCCAAACTGGTAGGTGGCGCTGTTTTAATAATGACAGTCTTTCTCTCTCAGTAGCTTTTTAATTAGATAAAATAAAACCTGTTAAAGCTGAGATATTAGCAGCATGTACTCGGCCAGCTTGTTTCTGATACTCACTAAGAAATGAAGGAGATGACCGCCCAGTTGGAGGAACTTTATCTAATCAGCTTCCCTCCGGCCTGATCTGTGAGGAGAATCTAATGGATTAATATTATCTTCTACTACATTTAGCAGTCATACAGTCTTGGAGGAAAACAGCTGTAAAATGCTTGAAAGTAAATTTAAAACTACTGTAGTGTCAGTTTGGTGTTGCACAAGAGTCTCTGGACTTCTTAGTGTGATATTTTTCATTCAACAGGATCATCTCTAATCAATGCTTCATGATTCTTTATTTTAAATTCTAGTTTAAGCTAGGTTATGATGATCTACATCTCACAGCCTTGCTTTAGGGGACGATGGATCTTTTTTTTTTTTACCTTGAATGATTTTTGTTAATAAATTCTTCTATTTTGAATAAAAGTCTTTGTGAATGTATTTCACCTCTCTGCAGACTGAACTGTTTGACCATGAATTTAGCTTTGTTTTCCTGTTTGACGCGTCTTCACAGAATAATTTATGAAAGTCTGAAAGTTATTTAATGAAATACTAATATTGTTGCCATCCACACAGGTGTTTGCATGAAATAGAAAGGAAATGCATAACATATTGCATAAGAATACCTGGGTGCATAGTACTATTCAGTGCAAATCTATATTTACAACCAGCAATTCAGGCTATATAATGCATAAATGTGTGCATGTAAATGGCTCTCCATGACAGGTGTGATTTAAGAAGGGCAATCTGCTCATTTTTGTGCACACCAAAGCGCCATTTTAAGTTTTTGGGCTTAAGTATACTTAGAGTAAAGATGCCCACAGAAGTTGACCTTCTGGAATTCCTCTTCTGATGACATGAAAGTTTTACTGCTGAAAGAAAATAATGATTTTAAAGGTTTGGTTTTACTTAAGAATTTTTTTTTTTTTTTACAAACATTTTATTTATTTTTTTCTTAAACAAAAATCACATTTAGGAATCATTTAAACATTTACATATAATACCGTTTTCCTTCTTTTAAATCAAGTTTCACAAACTTTCATAAAATGTTTTCTTCTATCTGCTTCTTCCACAGGCTGCGTCTTTGCCCATGTCTATAATCATAGTGGGAGTGGGCCCTGCTGAGTTTGACGGTAAGCATGTGTATGTCTTTGTGAGAAGGAGTGATGTAAAGCTGACAGATACGTCAGGGATGTCATAGTTTTACTGTAAATTCTCCATCCGTCTGTCTCAGCTGCTCCCACTTACTGTACACATTGTGTCAATCATCAGCATACCTGCTGAGGCTCGTTTCAGACATGAACAGACAAAAAAATCAGCCATGAAGCAAGAGCGATAACAAAATATCTCTTCCACCAATTACTCCGAAACATTCAGAGATGTTTGCTGGGATATTTAGTGAGAAAAGATGACTTCGACTTCTAGATCTATTTGTCGAAAGATACATTCCTGCTGTTTTCTCCCATCTTCCTGATGTATTGTTCAGAATAATGGACCAGGAATTAAGGCAAGGCAGACAGTGGAAAAACTTAAAATGTTTATTTAAACAAGCGGGCTGTGGATCTGCGGTATCAGCGGCTAGGACATCTATAACGTGAATGTCTAAAGGAGAGAAACACAGGTTTAGTGACCACAATAATCTGATGGTGTCATGATCTGGCCTGTTTGCTCTCCCTTAATTGGTTATTTCTTTCACCTGCCATTTTCCCTCCCTGCCACAATTATCATTTCTTCCTCTGACCTGTTTTCCTTTGGTTTATATTCTGTTCAGCCTGAGCATACAGGGCCAGATCATTATTTTTTTTTTTACCTTAGTCGTTCTGTTCAGTTCTGTTTATTTCAAGGTTCTTGTCCTGGATTCTGGCGGCCAGTGGAAAGAGCATTTTTGTGTCTGTCTCGTCTCCTGCTCGTCCACTGTTCCTCCCCTGCTGAGTCCTCTGGGTTTTTGACTCTATACGCTTGGAGGTTCAGTTTTTATCCCAGTAAACCTGGTTCCAAGGTGGAGACCAGTTTAATGGTCCTGCATCAAGTTCTGGTTTCACGTCCTGTCTCTGCTACCCTCTACCACTGAGCCTGCTCATCTGCACCTGATCCTGTCTGCTCCTATGCGTGTCCGTCTGGTCACGCTTCTGGACTCTGAACCAGCTGGGGAGCGCTACAGTACCTGGAACCTGCCTGTTCCTGCCTGATCTGTAACCCTGTGCAGGATCGACTTCCTTCTGGTCCTCCGGGGCTGCAACACCGGGGACGCTATGAGTGACGCGCGCTGCCTCAGCCTTCAGTCCAGGGGCTGGATTGCGCCACCTTCTAGTGTGATGGACTGGACTGTTGAACCAGAGTATCTGAGATTGGGCGAGCCGCCTGGTTCGTGTTCTTGGCAGGAGGGCGGCTGCGGGACCTAGGTGGCCTGCCGGTGGCAGGGCTGTCACTTCTGCTTTACCCAAACAAGGTTGGACGGAGGGGCGTGTAGTGGCTGGTTGAAGTATTTTGGGGGGGCTCTGGTTGAGTGGCCTGCATGGGATGGGTGGGCCCTGATCCCGAGGAAGCATTGTAAAGTCTGATGTCAGCAGTGATCAATGAGCTGTGGCAGTGCTTCTTTTTTCAAACAGTGTGTGAGTCTTTCACTAAAGGAGCTTGTCTCTGCCAATGTTTCTATTAATCTTAGATTATGGTGACCTTTTTATAAGAATGCTACCTCCTCATGTCTTCAAATGTTGGACTCTGTTTATCAAGCTTCATTGAGGTTCATCACAAACTGTAGAGCCATGACATCACTGTGACCTGTACTCTCAGGTGGGATGGCCTTCCCCCTCTACCAGAAGGCAGTGTCTTTGGTACACTTTTTATACACAAGGCGATTCTTGGATTACTGCCCTCTTACATTTGTACCTTACTTATACAGAAAAGCATTGCTTCTTTCTTATTTATTTTCCAAAAAGTTACAAAAGAGGATGATTAAGATGCCGGTCGACAGAAAAGTTTGACAAAACCTCCTCACCCAACTACCTGTTGGTACACTCCTATCTGCTAAAATAACAAGGGACCACACTACCTAAGCCAGTGTTTTTCAATCCCGGTCCTCAAGGCACCCTGCCCTGCATGTTTTAGCTGTTTCCCAGCTTCCACACACCTGTTATCAATTGATAGCAGATTATCAGGCTTTGCTGAACTGCAATCATCTGAATCAGGTTTGCTGAACCTCAGAAACATCCAAAACATGCAGAGCAGGGTGCCTTGAGGACCAGGATTGAAAAACACTGACCTAAGCGATCGCCCCAGCTGTGGGAAGATCTGAACACCTGTGCCACCAAAAAACAAAACCAAATATAAACTGTTGACTTAAGCTCTTACAATGGCCTCCCACTTGTTATCTACCTAGGCTGCATGCCACCGCTCACCTGAACTAATGATCACTTCCTCCTCATCTTTTTAATGATTAAGACTCCTTCATGTTTACTTGAAGTATTTTTCTTTTCAGCGATAGAGTTGGTGCTGTGCAGCTTGAAGCTGTCCCATCTGTATGAATGAAGAGTTTCAGAAAACATAGGTGCATGTCATGATTCCTAAAGTCAACAGGAGGCGTTACGTAAGGCCTCCAATCCTGGTGGCCATGGCTCAGGCCTTCAAACATCAGAGATCAGATTATGTCTATTTTCAATTCTATTAACTTTTATTCTTTGTACTCTCCTTTACTGTCAGCCGTCTCTATTTGCTTTAAGCTTCAGCTGCATCTCAGCCCCCCCCCATCCTTTACTCCCATGTTACCTCCTTAGCTTCCTGCTTTATGTGCACAACAGATTATAAATAAACAGATTATGATAATGTCCAATCAGATCTTCCCTTCCTGTGGCCTATATTAGCTCTAATGAAGTTGTTTTGCAGGATACTCTCTTATGTATGGAATGGCCAACTTGTCTTTGATATGAAGTCTTTATTAGTCCCTGAGGGCGTTCTTCTGAGCAGTTTGGTTTCCACTTTTGCTTCTACTGGATTTACTTCATCATGGTCATCGTGCCAAAGCCTCACTATAAATGGGAAGCTCCAAGATTAGAGCATCATCAGAGAATCAGCTCTTTATTTAAAGCTGATATACAGGATGTGTTCTCAGTAATAATGTTATAGTAGGCTAGCAACTCTGCCAACTGTTAAGGATTGTCTGGGTAAAATATAAAAATCAGCCTTTGCCTTCATATTTTCATAGTCGCTGTGTTTTGTTATGTTCCCCTGAGACATAATTAATGTTGTTTATACTGAGGTGAGTCAAACTACCAAGGAAACCAATCATTCTCGCCTGTTGATTAGGACGATGTACATATTTGATGGTGAGGAAGTGAGATTCAGTTTGACATAATCGACAAACAATGAGAAACACTAATATGCCAATGTCATTAGAAAATGATCCTTACTGGATGCAGCTGCAGGAGTAAAGAGGTGAAGCTGCACCTCTGGCTGAGACGCATGCTAAGACCCCCCCCCCCCCCCCCCCCCCCCCCCCCAGAGAGCAAGAATTGGTTGAAAAGATGACATGATTTACGTCCAAAAGACGTCTACATTTTGTTTAAAAATGAAAACTGAACAGTGCTGGTATCAAATGTCAAAGATGTAACCGGAACTACTAGGGGTGTAAATAACAATGGTTTTGCTTCGATGCATCGATCCAACAGCTGACGATCCGATGCATCGACACGTCCACAAGAGAATCGATTCATGTTTTTTTTTTTCCTCCGGTCTATTTTTATCCATTTGCTCCTGGGCGTAATTCTCCCTCCCGTGCTGCGGTGGCGCTAAACCTATTTTGCCCTCCTTCCTCGCTTCCTGGTTATAGTCTTACAGCAGTTTGTTGAAGTGAGCTTGATGCAGACATTTTTGATTTATGCTCAGTATTGAAGCGTGGTCTGCGCTACACGCTGTGGGTCTAGATACGGCCGAGGCGGCGAGGAAGTGGGGGCAAGTTTAGTCCGACGACGGAGGGACATGAGGGCCAAAAAGAGCGGAGCTCCAGGTGGAAAAAGGTCCCAGTGTTCTCGCGCACCTCGCTCTTCTAGCGGGTCAAACTTCACGAGTTGTTTTCCGCAATTTCGGTCATAAAAACAAACCAAGCCGGCCTCCTGTCTGCGGTCAGCTACAATTTGGGGGAGGAGCAGCGGAGCATCTGTGGAGGGGGCGGGGCCATCTGGAGCCGAGGTATTGCACTCATTGCACTGATTTTGTGCAGTATTTTTTGATGCAAGGCCTTTCAGAATCTATAATGCAGGGGCATTATGGAGTACAACTTTTGTATTTCTGTTATTCGTTGTTTTTTCTCAAATAAAATGCATAACAATATGACAGCTTTCATTGATTTATTTTAAATTTGAAATATTGTCTAGCCTGTAAGGTAAAAAAAAAAATTATGATTAAAAAAATGAACCAATAAATCGAATCGAATCGTATCGTGGTCTATCCTTGAGTATCGAAAATAATCGAATCTTTGGGTCAGAAAATCGATACTGAACCGAATCGCCTTGATGGATGTGATTTACACCCCTAGGAACTACTCCCCTCTGAAGACACACCCCTTTGGTGGAGTTTATAAAAGCAAGTACCGTCAATTCCAGACTATAAAGCGCACCTGATTACAAGCCGCACGCTCTAATTTTAGAAAGAAAATCAATTTTGTACTTTTATAAGCCGCATTGGATTTTAAGCCGCAGGTTTCCCACATTGTATGAAATATTTACATTATAAAGATATTACACGTGAGCATTTTTTAACGTTTGATTTAATCCATATGATAAAAAAACAAATACGGTACATAGGCTATTATGAACGTTTTTTTTTTTTTCAAACTACCTGTAACACATTTTAAAACACGTGTCGGTAACACGCAAATAACGCTGCATGTGCCGGGACTTTTAAATGAACAACGCATTGAACAGAACATTGCAGCCGACCAGGAAAAGTCCTTAATCATTTTCTTCTTCCTCCCGCGCACTAAAACCCTCAAAGTCCTCTTCCTCGGTGTCTGAGTGGAACAGCTTCAGGATGCTGTCGCTGACTTCAGTCTCATCCTTGTCGCTCTCACTTGAGCACTCGCGGTCCTCTTCATCCCGCAGCAGCCCAGCCTTCCGCGGCTTATAGTCCGGAATTTACGGTACTTCCCATTCAACTTCTATCAATCAATTAATCAATCAATTGATTTCTTTATTGTCAACTACAATTTGCATGTAATCGATATTTAAATTTCAGTACAAACCATTCATCACCTACATCACATACATTGGGACGGATGTGGGGAGACTGACAAGGTGATCGGCCATGCGTGCCGCAGACGTTGCAGCTGGCGCGCTCTTATGGCTGCCAAGGGCCCCACCCGGAGGCGGTTCCCTATAGCGCTGCTTTTATCTCTGTGGAAAGATAGGCGCCTCATTGGGAAGGGAGAGGGGCAAAAAAGCACACTTTCACACTTTATCCTTGACAGGATACAAAAGGGGGTAAAAAAGAAAAAAAATCCTGTTACCTGCAGCCCGCAGATACTAATGGCTAGACTCTTATTTTTTTCTCCAACGATTCAAACCAAGTTGAAATAAGTGTTTCCTGAAACCGCCTGCTACAGCAGAGAGAGAGAACTAACCCGACTCTGCTAACCTAAATCTAACCGCTGAAGGAGCAATAGCGCGGCCCAAATGCTGTTTGCCGGGAAGCCGTTAGAAGCCGCTGACTGGTGCCATACTGGTCCTGGCTGAGAGGAGCCAGGGAGCTGCTACATGACGGCCGCGCCTGCCAGCTAACCACTGTAGCTAAAGGGAAACCTCCCAGGCTACCATGAGTTATACATTAACCCCATGCAGGGTTGCCTCTTTTTATTGCATGAAATTCATCCAGATCTGTTTGAGAGCTGCTGTTGGATGAACAGATTGGACTGGTACCGGTCCTGGTGAAGAACCGAACCGAGGCGAACAGCCCTTCCAAAGAAACAAAGGTGTTGATGGCAGCAGCACAGCTGATATTTCTCTCCAGGATGGAGTCACAGCTAAACAGGAACAGACCAGATGAAGCTACTATGAGAAAAAGCAGAGAGAGCAGAACGTTAGAGATTGAACTAACAGATTCTGCAGAGTGGGAGAATAGAGATAGAATGAAGCAGAATGATGAAAAAGGGGTCCCTATGTCCTCCAGCAGTCTAAGCCTATAGCAGCAGAACTATAGAGATAGATCAGGATAACCTGAGCCACTCTAACTAGAAGCTTTATCAAAAAATGAAAACATTGGAAACAAAAAAGATTTTTTTTTTTCATTTTTTTGAAAATTGAATGTATAACATGGATGCATAAACACCTGCATTTTATTTCAGTGTTAAATTCTGTTTACAGTAACAGATCATTAAAAATGTCCACGGACCATTACTTATTTGATACTATCTGATTTTTAATTGCCACTGGTTCAATGTTTATAAACATTTATTTCCCGTCATGTGCTCCATCCAATGCAGATCATTGGCTCCACCCACATCTAGTGAAAACTAGTGTGATTGGATGAGTCATAGAACGCAAACACTCATTGGTTAGCTAAAGGAAACCATCAGAAGCTAGCAGGTGTTCTTCAAACTGCTAACGTGAATTGTCTATGCCATGCTACAATGTGGGATTCAGAAAAAGATGCTGAAATGTCTGAAAGGTCGGACACAGGCGAGAGCGTATCGGGAGACGGAGACCAACCAGACCTCCCTCATCCTTGGCCCTATCTCTGAGAATTTTTAGAAATGGTCGACAAATTGAGCTTTAATTCATATAGCGGCATCTGGCTGTTTTTTCTAAAGGTTAATTTATACTTTTATGCTTGAAGTAGTTTTTTGAGCACATACTTTTTCACTTTTACTTAATTTAAGAGGTCAAGTGGATTCTTCAACTTTTACCAGAGTGTTTTTAAACTGTAATAATAATACTTCTACTAAAGTAACAAATATGTTAACTTTTGACACCACTGAAAAATGAAATAAAAACCAGGCATAAATGCTTATACCCTAGAGACTGTGCTCATTGTCTTAACTGACTTTTTTCTTGGTCATTATTATGTCTCAATACACCTTTTTTTGAATTGTGTGTTATTGTTATGGTCCTGAAGAAGGAGCAGTATTTGTAATGCAGCAATAACTTTACTCTTTTTAAGCCAACTTCCATTGGAGCCCCCAGTAATATCTTGTTTATGTTGTTTTCAGCAATGGAAGAGCTCGATGGGGACGAGGTCAGAGTATCCTCCAGGGGACGATTTGCCGAGAGAGACATCGTCCAGGTGCGGGATGCATTTCGCTTTTTGCCTCATCATTTTCTATATTCATTTCAAATGTTTACTTATTAAAAATGTTTTTGTTACAGTTTAAATATGATCATAGATAAGTAGCTGTCATGTGAAAAAAGTATTCAACTAATACCGTCCAGTTAAATAAATTGACATTGATGGATTTCACTCAGTCTGTTTTGTTTTATTTTATTTTATTTTGCAAAGTAGACAAAAATGTAAGGATGACAGACTCAAAAAAAACTTACAGACACTTTGCTTAAACAGTAACCTTATGAATAAACCTTGAGAAAGAATCTGGCTCATTATGGGAAGAAGTATTTATGTCTCAATCACTGCAGGTGAAACAGGCTGAGTAAAAACTTTTCCAGGTAGTAAATAGAAAATCAGTACTAATCAATATATGAAATTGGAAATGAATAGAAATCTAATACAAAGAACTTTGTTGCATTAGCTTCGTAGAAGTGATTGATATGAATAGAAACATTTTGCAAAGGATATTTTATAGAGGTCAGATGTTTAAGTATGGAGCATGGAGACTTTAATCATGGTGGGTTCATAGGTCACCAATACAGACTGTGGAAAACTGTTATGGCAAAACTGTTATGGCCTGACAATTTTTTGAATAACAATAACAACCACCTCATTTTGGAAAATTCTCGCCTATTTTGCAAACCCAAATGGAAAAGCAAATAAGTTAGGAACTGTAAGCCCAAATTACATTTGAAATACATTATTTGAAAGCTAACACCCTCTAGTTTCTAAAAATTAAAATTGGGTGAACAGAAGCTGCATCTCTTCAAACATGACTCAAAGTTTGTTTTTTTTATTCTGGGAAATGATAGGTCTTTTTTGAACAGCAGTAATAAAGACATGCTTGAGAAAAGGCAGGTCTCATTGTCTTATATTTGTTCTACATCATGTCAACCATAAATGCAGAAAATATCAGACCTCTAGCTGCAACAGTTCCAGAGCTGTGGGCCTTTGAACCGTTGGTGTCACCAGCGTCTCCATATCTCTCCAAATGTGCCAAATTGGGCCAAATGCTTTTACTATGCTTCGCTTCGCTTGACCCAGAATAATACTGAAGGATTTTGATGAGGCGAGTATTTTCCACTTTCTTCCAGAATCAGTGTATAGGGCTGCAACTAACGATTATTTTAAAAATCGATGAATCGGCCGATTATTTTTTCGATTAATCGATGAATCGGACAAAAAAAATTTTTTATATTAACCTCTTTATTCCAAAATAAACATTTTAGACAGAACAAACAAGCACACAAGTACAGGTTGCTCATTAACTGTACTGGTGCAATATGAAAAATAAATGTTTGTGTTAAAACTACGCAAACTTACATGAGAAATGTAGCTGTACATCCACAAAATATAGGGTACTTTGTTTCATTAAGCGCAAAAAAAGACATTTTTGTTTTTAAAGCCCCTAAGGGGTTCAAACAACAGGCCCCCCCATTTCAACAAATGAGTTTTTTTAGAGTAGAAGAGTTCTGCCTTTTAAGACAGGAAAGTATAGCAGTTAAAGTTGCTACTTGAGAAAATACTGAACCATAGAGATAAAAATAGCCTGTGATTCAAATTATAAATTGTATTTGGAATAAAAATGAGAGAACTAGGGGTGCTAAAAAACACATCCTCCAAAGACAGATATTTACATGGGAATGTGGCAGATAATTAATTGACATATTACTGATCTTGCTGGATTTTATTCTGCTTTACTTCCATAAATTGCAGGATCTTCTTTACTTTATCTTTGCCAGAAGATTTAAACTTTAAAAGCCTTGCCCTCATAATTTGCAAGTTAATTTATCTATAAAGGCTATTTTAATTATTGTGATCAATTTGCGCCGTCAATCCCGGCGCATGCGCGCTTCATTTGCAGTCTGGATGCTGAGGGTAAACATCCTGCGGCTCTGACTGCAGCGCTGAGAGGGACTCCTGCGGGAGAACGGGGTTGGGATGGGGGAGGCGCCCCACGGCAGAGTAGGAACCATACATGCTTTCACGTAAGAGTCTCCAAAAGCCGCCAGTGACACCGTAAAAAGTCGCCAGATTTGTCGCTAGTCGCTTTTTTAAACAAATAGTCGCTGGAGGGGTCTGAAAAGTCGCTAAATATAGCGACAAAGTCGCTGAGTTGGCAACACTGCGCACCGTAATTTTTTTTTCTTCCCCCGTTTCAGTCAAGTGGATGTGATGACGGCGGCGGCGGATGACGCATTAATCGCGCGACACAACTAATCGATGATGAAATTCGTTGCCAACGCTTTTAAAAGTAAATTTTTATCGATTTTATCGATTCGTTGTTGCAGCCCTATCAGTGTATATAACAAAATGTAGAATTTTTACAATTATAACATAAAAATCTATAAAAGACAGTGAATCTGCTGCTTTTCAAGCCTTATTTCATTGGCTACAAAGCCCAACAGCCCACGTGGTCTTAACCAATAACAGCTGGACTTATTAAAGAGTAAAAGCACGGGTCATTGCCTGACAGGAAGTGACCGGAAGTGATATTTCGGGGAGAGGGCGGCGCAAGACGTGTAGTGCTCAGCTGTGTAACATTATACGAGTATCTGATGCTAATTTGGCAAGGCCAACGTTTTAAATGGCTTGTTAAACAACTATAAATCAACCAAACAAGGATAACAGACTTTAATGACAAGTTGAAGATTCTTGCAACCCACGGATTTTAACTCTCCGACAACAAGCTAGCCTTTGAAGCTATCATCAATACGCCAGTGTGTCATGATTTTACTAAAGGTGCAGAAGACCAAACAGAGAGACCAGGGAAACGTTTAACAGGTTTATTAGAATAATAACATCCAATGCTGGTCTGAACACTGCTCAACCGGAACTGAAAGATTATGGGAAGACACTGCGGGTATTTCAGGCTCAGTGGGTAATTAGATTCTTGGGCTTGAAGAGGAGGAATAAGTTGCAGACTCAGGTTTCCAACAAAAGGTGTCCTAAATAGAATCCAGTCTGTGTGGGATGTTCCAGCGATTGTCTTGTTTAATGTTGGGCAGACAGGGTTTACTCAGACTGCGGTTGTTCCTTGGTGAATGGAGAAAGCTGACTGCCACCTAGAATTCCTGCGGTACTTGAACGGGTCGTAGTGGAGAATGATCCCTTTCTCAGTGAGAAGCTCAAACGATCTCTTGGGGAAAAGTGGATCTAAACCTCCTGTTTGAACCCCAGCTCAGTTTGAAGCTCAGTTGATCCTTCCAGGGAGAGAAGGTCCGAGAAATCCAGTTTGCAGGATGACTTCCTGCCGAGAGGCAAAGACAAAAACAAAGTTAAACTCAGGTTGACAAAAACTCAGCTTGACTAGAGTACCCTAAACTGGCAAAACAAAAACTCAGGTTAAACTCTGCTAAACTAAGCATGGCTAGATTACCCAGTATTGGAAAACACTCAGTGCCGAGGTAGTGGCAGTCAGCAGCTTAAGAACACTCCGCAGGTAATGAGGCAACAAGCTGCAGGTGTGCAGGGAGGCCCAATGAGGATGGGGGAGGAAAACAGGAAACACAGAAACAACCCAAAAAAACTGGATTCCTGACACAGTGAACAGGTATGTCAAAAAGAGACGCAAAAAAGGTTCCAAAAGGAAGATTGATGACAGACGTGGAGCCAGAAGAGAGTTTCTACGGGTTGGCTACTCCTCTTCCAGAGACTCCCAGCAAAAGTCCAAACCCGAAGAAAACATGCGGAAACAACAAGGAAAACGACACGTTTTCTAACTCCGACATCCTCCAAGCCGTTTGTGAGATGAAGCAGAGTTTTTCTGTTTTTGAGCAGCAATTAAAACAAAAATACTGCTGACATAAAAGAGGCAAAAGAGATTAAAGAGCTTAGATACCAAGCTAAAGAAACAGAAGATAAATGAATGAAACTGGACAAAAGAGTGGATGATCTGAAAGAATAAACCGAAGAAGGGGAAAGATATAGCAGAAGATGGAATCTGCGTCTCATCAACCTCCCTGAAAAAGGAAATGAAAATCTGAGGCAGGACGTCTTCCAAATATTGAGCCAGATTGCACCAGATAAAAAAACAAGCTGGGTTTCCTCGTTGACACGGTGCTTCTGATAGATTTTAGGCCTGCAGAGAAGGTGTTAAAGACTATGACTGCACACCACTGTGCTGTTGCCGGTCAGAGGGTCTGGTGGCACCAAATGTCTGACATCCTCTGCCAGTGTGTCTTACCGGCTCCAGGCTGCACGTGATCCAAATGAGCCAATGAGCTGTCAGTCTGGGTTGCTGCTGCTGCTACTTTTAGACACAGCAGGCAAACCGGTGGCAAGCCGGGCGATGGGAAAGAAGGAGAAGACCATGAGAAAAAGAGAGCAGAGAAAGTGTGGACTGCTGGAAGAACTGCGGTGAACTGGTGAAAGAAAAGTGAAATGGCGTGCTCAAAGATGACCCTGCACATTTAGAGGATGTTTGGCTCAACCTGCTGCTGTGAAGCAGGATTCTCCACCATGAACAGAATCAACAATAAAAATGTGATGTGGATTTATATTCAATGCCAATCCAGCTTGGATGCCATATTTAAGATCTGAAGAACTGTTATATTCAATTACCAGCCAGCTGGCAATTTATATTTCTGATCATGTAAGATGTTTATTGCCCTCCCCGGTAGGGGCGGTAAATATGTTATTTAATCAGATATTATTTCAGCTGTTATATATTGTTTATGACACACGTCCTACTAGCTGTGTGTTAGAACAATAGATGAAAGAGCGATTCGAGCTCTAATCATGGTCAAACAGTTAATTCTGCACATACATGGAATAAATTCACCACAACTTCTGTTCAAAATATAAGAGTTTATTAACAAAAAACAATCAGCTCCAAGTCAAACACATTTAACTAGGACTATTGAAACTTAACTAAACTAAACTACTATGTACAAAGAGGAAGGGAAACATGGCTGAAAACCATGTTACAGTTTAAGATGAATTTTCTGTTTGAAAACCAAAGTTTATCTGGAAGAATTTGGGGATATGATCAAATTAGCTTTTCACTCATTTAGAGAAACATTATTTGGCCAAATAATGTTTTTGTCATGTTTGGCTTCAGGTGTCTAACCCACCTGCAGAACACTCAGAGGCAGGAGAAAAGTTCAAAGATTTATTGCAATGTTTAAGCACAATGAATGAACAGATCCAGAGGAGAATTTGTCTGGTCACGAATGGGTTCTGAAAAGCACACAGAGTTATCAGATCCAGGACTGGTCACGAGTGGGTTCACTGCAGAGGGGGACAGAGGAGTTAGCGGAGGTCCAGGTATTTTGCAGGTTGAGAGTGTGCAGGGCTGTACCTGTTCTGGAGTTGAGCAGAGCGGCAGAGGGGGGGAACCTTGAGGGTCCAGAGGCTGTCGGCAGGCTGAGGGCTTGGCGGAGGCAGAGCTTGGTTTGGGTGTTGGTAGATCACAGATTTGAGTTTCCCTTCCAGTTTCTTCTGAGAGCGGGCAGGCAGATCTTTAGACAGGAAGAATTCTCCTGGGTTCTTCAGAGAACGACAGCCAGATTACTGACAGAGAAACACTTCAGGGTTTCAGGTTTCAGGCAGGTTCAACCTAGGAAGCAGAGAGGAGAAAACAGATCAGGTTCAGGTTTTCAGGGAGTCAGAGGTTCAGACAGGCAGGTTGGCTCAGGCTTGCTAACCGTTACTGGCAAACACTCTGGCACTGGAGAGACGTCCTCTGCCTCCTTAAATACGGATCTCCTGATGAGCAGATGAGCGACAGGTGGTGCAATCAGCTCCGGCTCCAGGAGATCTCGTACGCCCTCTGGTGGAGAAAGTGGACAGACCTCCAGATCCAAACAGTTTTATCAAATGATTTGCTTAATCAAGAACCAATAACCATTAGTCAAAGGATTTTGGATTCCATTAAATTATTCTTGTTCATACTTTGTAATCAAAATGTAATGAGCATCTGAGGAACACATGAACACTAATGTTATATCATTGTTTAAACCTTTAGTGAAATAAAGCTTGTCGAAGCTTCAACAACAGCTCAAAGCATGCTACTGTAGCGTAGCATGCAATCCATCCTGTTAGTGTTGTCTTTGCTCATCATTAAACACATTAAGTGATCAAAATCATCAAAAGACATATTGTTTGTTCTGTCCCTAATTGTGCCAGACCTGCAAACCTTTTGTCCATGTCCATTTGAACGGTTGAGTCTCATCCAGCAGCAGCTCAGCAGTCAGGCCAACAGCAACCAGGGGTTTCTCTGTCTGTGTGGCTCACACCAAGGCAGGTTTTCTCATCCAGTCTGGCTCTATACGTTCTCAAACGTAAGAGAAATGTGTTGCAAAAAGTTTCAGCTTGGTTCTGAAAGGTCACCAAGATGACTTATCCTTGATAATTCTGAAGATCTTGGTCTTTTTGGGCCTGGATCTCCATTTTGGTGGAGACCCTTCTGAAGTGCACCCCAGGCAGCTTCATGGGAAAAAGAGAAATCCTGTGTGTTCTGTGGTTTTCACTGTCCTCAACACAGAGGGGAGTGGCAAATCACACCTCTGTCACCTGCCATGTTACTTGCCTGTGACTGCCTTTGGGGCCAGCTAGTAGAGACTGACACGGGAGTGGATTTTCACTCCTGTCCCGTCCCACTCCCACAGAAAAAAATGGTGTCCCGTTCAGATCCCGGGCCAGAGTAGAAATCTAAATCCTGTCCCGTCCCACTCCTGGTGAAATTACTCCCACTCCCATTCAGAATGACTCCCTTTCCCGCACCACTCCCATTCTTGTATTTGAGCGCGGGTGAAAAACTCAGAGCGGAAGCACTGTTGGTTTTGGGGTCGTGTAGTTTTTTTGACTCTCATAGTGTAGGCTTCAAGGAAAAAAAACTACAAAATGGCGGCGCAAGTGCTGGATTTCTTTTTTTTCTATTTTATTTTATTTTTTGGCATCGAACCTAGTTTTTTTTTTGTTACTATTGGTTTGCACTGGAAAAAATTGAAATCTCAATAAGTAATTTTTTCTTAAAATAATTGCATTTTTTCTTGAATTGAGGAGGTAAGTGTGAAACTTTGCCAATGGAACAAGACAATTTACTTTTCAAATAATGAAAAACAGTTGCATTGTCTTATTTCAAGTGCATATTGTCTAAGTATCTAATTTTAAGACTAAAAATACTAATTCCATTGGCAGATCCTCTTATTTTTCTGTTGAAATTAGGAGTAAAAACACTTAATTCAAGAACTGTTGACTTATTTCTAAGTCGTTTTTGCAGTGTGCTCCCGCTCCCGTCTGCTCCCGTTAATGTTTAATCCTGTACCGTCCCAATCACGTGATCGTTACTAATACTGACTCCCATCCCGGGAATTCCGTGACCCGTGGGATTCCCGGAAAAATGTCAGTCTCTACCAGCTAGCTGGCAAACTTGCATCCTCTTCTGGTTCCAATGTCCAAAAACCATGATCATGGCAGATGGCACAACAAATGGATCCAGGCTCAAAATGAGCACCTTGATATGTGCTTGAGAATGGCTTAGTCTCCGGTTAAACCCAGGTTTAAAGCCTTGCAGGGCAGCCTAAAGCCCACTGCCAACATTAAGACAGAAAAAAGAAAAATAATAAATGCTCAGTTCAGGTGTTTTATTAAAAAAAGTGAGTCAGGAAATTTTCTACATACCAAACTGAACAATTGTTGTTCTCTACTTAAAAAAACACTTTATATTTTAAAATGGACCAAAATGATGAGGTTTTGTATTGAAGCTGGTTTCCTCTGGCTGTGTGCACATATGGTTAGACAAACTGACCAGTTGAACCAGGAGCAGACATCTTTCTGCATAATTAACATTTGGAATATTCTTTTATATTAGGCCTTTTTTAGTCTGTTCTCTGTTTGGAAATAAAAAGTACTGAATGTCAACCCAACCTATCCTTGTAATATTTTACAGGCCATGTTTTTTCTTACAGGAGTTAAATATATCCTTTTTATTAGTAATCTTCTATCTAGCACTCTTATAGCCTAGGGAACAATATGTTCTGCACCTCCTTAGGGGAACATGGCTCCCTCCTGTTAAAGAATGCTGATAGGCTGTTCTTTCTTCTCTCTTGTCCAGTTTGTTCCTTTCCGGGATTACATCGATCGGTCGGGGAATCAGGTCCTCAGTATGGCTCGGCTGGCGAAGGATGTACTCGCAGAGATCCCTGACCAGCTGATGTCTTTTATGAAAAAACGGGGGATTGAACCCCGACCTCCACTGCCCTCCACCTCTGCCCCTCCTTCCCTGACCACCACCACCAGCGGGACCCCGTCTCCTGCTGCCAAGCAAAGCAAAGCTTATCCCTGACTGAGGGAAGCTAGCAGGGCCAAGCGGAAACCAACCTGAGCTGTTGTGTGTGAGTGGATGAGTGGACAGGATGTAAAGCTTTAGGGTTGGGGGGCACAAACTAAGCAGTAAATGATTAACTGTTTTCTTTTTTTTTAAAGGTGTGACTCAGTCAGCACCAACAGAACAATTAGCCAGTGCAGCACAGAAGGCAACAAATGAATTACAAACCCCATAGCTTCACACACTGAGATCTCAGAGTAGTTTTGTAGATTTGCTTTAAGTCTGCAGCTCCATGTTTCCTTCAACATCCTGCAGAGCTGAGATGTTGATTTGTTTAGAGAGCACACTTAGGCAACAGCAAGGATTCTCTTATTGTCCTGATTTTTTTCATCTCAGGGTATTTTAAAGATTAGGGGAAAATAAAGAAAGACCTGTTTAGAGAAGCATTGCCCCATCTGGCCGACAGTTTACATCCGTCCATGTTATCTCTCCCGGAAACTAGATAACAAAACCATAAACTGACAAACTTTGTATTGATCTAGGTGAATATGTATCTACACCTTCAGGTCTAAATAAAACTTAGAAGCGTTTTTGTAGCGAAGGAGTGTTGTCCAGTGAAGAGGTGTACTGGTTTGCATTAAACTGTTGTTTTAATGCATCAAACTCTGATTTTAAACGGCACCATTTTTACTATCTACTCTAAAAGCTGTAGTTTGCAGTGTGTAAAAACCCATATGAAAGTAAAGGTACTTTTTATACTAACTTTCCAACAATCACAGGATCACAAACACTTTTAGCCATGCGTACCGTTCATAGTGTCTGTAGTCATTTATTTATCAATCTTGAGCTGCATTTAAGGAGTCTTTATAAAACAGTTAAGGTTGGAGAAAAGAGAAATCTTTTTTCAATAAATGTTAGATGGTGGTAGCTTTGGAGGGATAAGTAGGAGGGATCTGATTTGCTTTAATATTCTAAAGATTTTATGAACCAAAAAACCACATACAGTATTTTTACAACTGGGCAAATTATCGCCCTTTCTAATTCCGGACGTATAATCAATGTTTATACTAATTAATCAATAGTTTTGACCTAACCATAATCCTTACAGCTTAATATCCAGCAGAAAAAGTGATTCAGAGCAAAAAAAAAAAAAAAAAAACACTGAAGCAACAACCAAGAAAAGAGTTTTAGCTCAAAGTTCCTTCTGTCTTAAACGGGACAGATTGACCAGTGTCTTCAAGGCAAGTAAGACGATGGGAAGTTTCAAAATATTTAATGACAGAAAATTATAAAACAGAACAGAATGGGACGTGGGCTGCTAAAGATCCTGCTCCTGCTGCCTCCTTCCTGCTGCTGCAAGAATTATGCGGGGCATCGCCCAATCATTGACACTCTGGTTTAACAGTTCAGTCCATCCTCTCCGAGGAGGGAAGGATCCAGCCGATGGAACTCCAAACAAAATGCGGCTCAGAGCCGTCCAAAGTGTCCCAGATTCAGCAACCTCAGTGAGCAGGCAGAGACCGATCCAGGTCCGAGAAACAGTTCAGAACCGGACAGATCTAGGTTCCAGGAATCCTTAGATCATCCAGGCAGGTTCAGAGCTCCATGAGTCCAGCAGCGAGCTCAGACAAACACGCTCAGATGGAAACAGTGGTAGAAGGACAGAGAAAAGACATGGTACCAGGAGAACTGCAGAACTTTGAACTGGTCTCCACCTTGGAGCCAGGATCACGGGAATTAAAACTGACCTTCCCTGCGTTCAAAGCCAAAACTCTGAGGGCTCCGTGGAGAAGAGCCGGGACATGACCAGGAGACAGGAGACAAACATTAAACCCTCTCCAGCCACCGGCCTCCAAGACTCAAGAAATTAACCAGGGACTTATCTCTCATGAAACAAACGTAAATAACTGACACGAAAACACGAATAAACTAAGAATAGACGAATTATAATCTGGCCCCGATAGCTGGGCTGAACCGTATATAGCAGCAGGAGCAGGTGAATAAGTGGAAAGAAAATTAGAGAGCGGGGAGTGAACAGCAGGTGAAGGAAGTCAGTAATTGGGGCTGCGATCATGACACCTTCAGGGTTGCAGACTGCTGAAGCCGCAACCCTGACTATAACCAGTTGGTACCCAATCCAGTGACCAAATCAATATGCCTCAGATTAGTCTGAATAAAAATCTAAAGAGTGTTAGTTGGGCACCATTAAAGCTTTTCACCATTTCTGTATGTCATTCAGTTCTTTGGCTAAAGGCTGAGGTTAAGATTTTACTTATCTTCAAGTAATCATTGATGGATTCATCCAAGTGTTGTTGTTTTTATTAACCCAGATTTCTGATTTTATGTTTAATTAAACACCCATAAGCAAGATTTGGACTGTATGTTTTCATGTAGAGAAATGGGGACCAACCACTCAACCCAGGCAAATCAGCTTCTCTCTTTAGGCACTTGACAATATTTGGATGTGGTTCAGAGGGTTGGATTCCTTGCTATAAAATGATCCTTATCTGTGCTTGCTGTCCCTAATCTCCCTTTATAGCATAACTCTCTCAGCCGGGACGGTTGTTCAGGATGAATCATGCATGGGGTGGAAGCCGCTGGTTCTCTGGCCGTCCTTTCTACATGCCATTTGAAAAGGAATCGGTCTGATAGGTCTGGGCGGTACACATTTAGGAGACCAAAATACTTAACATGTAGCAGAGAATGAGCAAAAGAAACAAGGTCATATTTACTTTCTTCAGTTTACTATGAAGGGTGTCACCAAAAGAAGAAGGGGATTTGCTCAGCTTTTGTTGTGTCCATGAATTATTCAAGAACTGTAAGCTGCTGCTTAGAGGAAAAGCCGGCATGTTTTATAACCGTGACCCTGAAGAGCTCAGTGCAGATGGAGTACAGCGAAACAAGGCATAAAGGCAAAAACAGGTGACCTCACAGACTCCTGGGATTCATGGCAGTTTTTCTCCCTTGTTTCTGCAAATGTTCAGCTTTTTCTGAACGGAGATTCATCTACCTGCATGGCAACGCCGGCATGCCCAGAAGTATGTCACACACACACTGGAAACATTTCTTAAATTAAGTGTATTTACCCTTCATTTGAATAGATAATGAGATAGTTTGCCAATTAGTATTAGTATTTCTACTCTTAAAATAAGATAATTCAATAATATGCACTCAAAATAAGACAATGCAATTGTGTTTTCTTATTTTAAATCAAATCGTCTTGTTTCAATGGCAAAGTGTCTCTTTAAATGCACTTATTTCAAGAAAAAATTACTAATGTAGATTTCGATTTTTTCCAGTGCATCCAGTGCTTTGCGCCTTGAGGTCAATAAGTAATGCAGAGAGACTCAGCTAGAAAACCACATACTGCAATTTTTCTTCAATTCAGGAGGCAAGTGAGACACTTTGCTAATGGAACAATTAACATTTAAAATAAGAAACTTTGCATTTACTCATTTCAGGTGCATATTATCTAATTAGTTTTATTTTAGAGGTAAAATTACTCATTCCATTGGCAGATTATCCATCTACCTGCTCAAATTAAGGCTAAATACATTTAATCTAAGAATTTTAGCTTAGGGCAGTGCAATTTCTCTTCTGATATACCTGAATTATCAGCAGATTTGAGTAGACGGTATTTATTTTATAAAATCTATTTCTGAAACAGAGTAGGACTCTTTATGGGCTGCAGCTGAAGAAGGTTTTATTTTGATGCACTAAGACAAGTGAAATGATTCACATCTTGTTGATCAAAATGAGCAGAAAATATCCATTAATTAGGAACAATTTTCAAATAAATGACAAAAATAAAAGTTATTGAAGGCCAGTGGAGACAAAAGAAAAAAAGAAAATCCGTCATCCAGAGAATCATCAACCTTGTGTGGTATTTTAAGATCAGGCCAGGTTTTCCTTCTCTGCTTAGCTTTATTACGACTCTCTACACTGCAAAAACGACTTGAATCAAGTGAATTAACCTTTAATTTGAGTAGGTAAATTAAATGATTTGCCAATGGAATTAGTATTTTTACTCTTAACGGTTACCATGGCGGCGCTTCAAAGCAGCGGCCAAGAACAGCTCCTCTTGACAATTTCACAGAATATGCCGCTTAAAACGATACAAACTACACTTTAATCCTGCGTCTATTATCGCCAACGCCGGCTGGAGCTACGGTCACAAAATGACCTTTTTAAAAACCTACGGATGGATCTCTACAACACAACAGCGGAACGTAACCGCCAAAGGAAGAGATGCGCGATACGGAGAAAGCGAGGCTGCAGGGGGGGGCTAATTGTTAAGTAAATGAGAAATCCTCACAGACCACCGTTTCCATCAATCCTGCTCTCCAACGTCCGCTAGCTGGAAAACAAAATTGATCATCTCCGACTGGAACAAAGAAGGAGATTATTAACTGTTGTGCCATTATTCTAAAGGAGTCATGGCTGCATCCAGCTATACTGGACAATGCTATAAACCTGGAGGGCCTCACGCTATACCGCGCCGATAGGAACAAAGAACTAAGCCGCAAGACTCTGGTGGCGGGCTCTGGGTTTACATCAACAACAGCTGGTATAAAAATCAGTCTCCAGCTTCTGCTTTTCAGACATCAAGTTTCTGACTCGTAACTGCAGGCCGTTCTATCTGCCCAGAGAGTTCAGTGTGGTTAGCATCACTGCTGTTTATGTGCCCCCCAGTGCTAACACTAAAGAGGCCATGAAGACTCTATACCAGGCTATCTCTGAGCTCCAATCTGCACACAGAGGCTGTTTTCATCATTGCTGGGGATTTTAACCAGGCTGACTTGAAGACTGTTCTCCCTCATTTCTACCAACATGGCAACTCAGAGTGAAAACACTTTAGACCTGGTTTACTCTAACATCAAAGATGCATTCAGAGCAGCCCCCACCTCAGGTCATCAGATCATCTCTCTGTCATGCTTATCAATGCGTATAAGCCCCAGCTGATCAGGGCTCAATCGACAGTTAAAGATCTGCCTTTTGATCTCCCGCTCCATCTTCCCCTCATTCGTGAACAAGACCCCTAGATATTTAGACTCCTCCACTAGGGGCAGTACATCCTCCCCAACCTGTAAAAGGCACTCTACCCTTTTCCGGCTCCAGACCATGGTCTCGGATTTGGAGGCACTGATCCTCATCCCGGCCGCTTCACACTTGCCTGCGAACCGCTCCAGTGAGAACGGTAGATCACGCCCTGATGAAGCCAACAGAACCACATCATCTGTGAATAACAGAGATGCAATCCTAAGGTCACCAAGACAGATCCCCTCAACACCTTGGCTGCGCCTAGAAATTCTGTCCATAAAAGTCAGACTTACTGCCACCAATGTGGACCAGGCTCTGACACCGGTCATACAGAGACCTAACAGCCCCTATTAAAGGGCCTGGTACTCCATACTCCCAGAGTACCCCCCACAGGACCCCAGAGGAACAAGGTCGAATGCCTTTTTCAGATCCACAAAACACATGTAGACTGGTTGGGCAAACTCCCATGCACCCTCCAGAATCCTGCTGTGGGTCTAGAGCTGATCCAGTGTTCGACGGCCAGAACGGAAACCTCACTGCTCCTCCTGAATCCGAGATTCGACTATCCGACGGACCCTCCTTTCCAGAACCCCGGAATAGACCTTACCAGGGAGGCTTAAGAGTGTGATTCCTCTGTTGCTGGAACACACCCTCCATTCCCCTTTTTTAAATAGAGGGACCACCACCCCGGTCTGCCAATCCAGGGGAACTGCCCCTGATGTCCATGCAATGTTGCAGAGCCCCGTTGACCAACACAGCCCCACAACATCCATAGCGCTAAGGTACTCGGGGCCAATCTCTTACACTCCTGGAGCCCTGCCACCAAGGAGCTTTTTAACCACCTCGGTGACTTCAGCAACAGAGATGGGAGGACCCAAGCCGGAGCCCCCAGGCTCTGCTTCCTCAATGGAAGAAGTGTTGGTGGGATTAAGGAGGTCTTCGAAGTACTCCGCCCACCGACATACGACGTCCCGAGTCGAGGTCAGCAGCACACCACCCCCACTATCATTAGTGTTGGTACTGCACTGTTTCCCCCTCCGGGGCGCTGGATTGTGGAGCAGAACCGCTTTGAATCCGTACGGAAGTCTTTCTCCATGGCCTCTCCGAACTCTTTCAACG